CATCTGCGATTCCCCTGGTGTTGCTGTTGTTCATGGGCGGCGGTAGTCACTTACCCTCAGGTGTACAAAGTTACGTCGTCAGTTCAATCGCGACGTGTCAGGAACGCATTCTCTGAACGGCCGAACTATAATTATTAATTGTATAGTAGTAGCACGAATGGGTCGACCACGATCTCACAGAATACCAGCGTAAACTAGCGGCTCAATGCTGCTGTGTTTCGTATCGTGAGTGCAGAGAGCCTAAGACCCTTTTTACTGGAAAAGAGGCATTCCATCTTAGTCCTGGCTGACAACGGATCTGCATTTTGATTCGCATACGAGGATTGATGTAGATGTCTATGGGCCACAGCAACTACTTAGAGGTCCCGTCACGTAAAAAGAACGCTGAGCAACAGTGGAGGGAGTGCGTCTGTGCAGTCTACAGTCGCGTTCTAAAGTACTACATGGTACTAGGCTATTGTTTCATAATATATTTGTAATTAATTGTTTTATTGTAGAATCATAATAGGTACTTTACTAGGTACTTAGAACTTTGGAAGAGGTTGGAATTAAAGATGGATAATGTTAACTTGAGCACTACTGTTTGTTTACTGTCGTAAAATATAAAGTAGTTTGTAACAAGAAAACTTAAGCTAAGGGTGATACGGCGTCCTAATGGACGCCGTGTCACCCAAGATGATATAATATCATCTTGGGTCACATGGAAGCCAGATGTCGATGGTGTGTTGGCGTTACTGAATGCTACTTCATCATCAATTTCATCTTCGCATGAGCTTCCGTCATCAGAATCATCATCATCAATGCGAATAATAAATACTTCCGTCATCAGGTCGACCACATGGTAATTTTTTCGGTATTCTTCCTCAATACTTTTAACTTTACTGCACAAATTTCCCCATTCACCTTCTCCCATCATATTTACCTTTTTGTTCACTAGACCTACTAGACCTTTACCATTAGGTGGACTGTGTGCTTGCTTGTCACCCTTATCCTATAAAAATATATGTAAACTTTCTTCTTTTAGTTTTCTATGAAACTGATTGTAAAAAGAGCGGTTCTTTCTACCCATAGACATAGTATATACTGGAGTATAGACCGACATAGTGTGCAAGGGCGAAGAAAATTCTTTATGGCAAAAATGCAAGATAGAAGAGGATATCAAATCTCATGACCGAGACTCACGACCGATGAGTAGCCGATTTTGAATGACAGGTCAGCACAAGTCGGCACGCAAGAAATAAACTCCCAGATATTTTGTAATTTTTTGGAGTGTAATAGTGGTTATTTTTAGTAAGTAACTTTTTCCAAAATGGTTACTTGTATTCTGAGTGACTGTGGTGTTAATAATAGAAATAATCATGATAATTGCACATTTCACAGGTAAGTTCTCAAGACGCCGTCAATGTTATGACGCGTTTAATTTTGGTTAAAGTTTATGTTACATACTGTTTAAATTATAGAATGTGTACACGCCCCTAGCTGCCCCAACCAAGGGTGACGGGATGAGGGCCCATGAGTAATCCCATCGACGGGCAGCAGAGGGGCGGGGCCAGAATATGGCCACGTGGACTATGTTCTAAATACAATAAACTATATGGGAGAAAGCTAGTACTTACCATTATCCGAAGCTAACTTCGCACCAAGGCTTGTGAGTGTATGTAATAGTGGATGGCGAGTAGTGTACAGTGAGGTGTGAATGTGTGGGGCCTTGGCAAGCACAGGCGACCAGCAGCGGCTGAGTTCCAGGCTGCTCCAAAATGAGGTAATCTTCCGCGGCGCCGTCCACAGTCACTTTCTTCGTTCGTCACGATGACAGTCCATTAACTCTATCGTACGATTAACTAACTTACAGAAGCCACTAACTCTAATTTGTTATAAAGCATAACACCCAAAACAAATACAGAATGTCGGTCTATACGAAATCCCGTTACTATAAGCGAAAACGTAACACATCGCACGAGCAATTAATATTGTCAAATCACTTATATACGCTATCAAATTAGAATAACCAATTCGTTGTAAATTAGGCGCGCCTAACACGCAATTCAGACTTTGATCGCAGTCAATGTTAACTTCCTAACAATTTGTCAGCCCGGCGTCAAATTCTAGACTTAACAAAGAAACCTTCGTCGTGGCAGCGTCTGCTAACAAAACCGACTCCAAAAATGGAGGTTTCCCGGGCGTCCTTAAACGTGCTCTCGTTAACACAGTATTATAGCAACTGTTCGACTCGACCCCGCCGTCGGTAGCAAATAACTCTCTCGCGCGAACGTCAAACCGGTACGAATGCACCGCGCCGAGCGCCCCCTGGCGTTAGTTCCTGAAATTAGCGTTTGGCGCGAACAGAATGTTTTCAATTATTTTATTAATTTTGATATTTTGCGAAGGAAAAAGTCAAGTTGTTGATAATTTGCATTAATGTGGTAAATACATTTTTATACAAAATATTTTACATGTACGCTAGGGATTGACTCAACTATATCAAAATTAATGTCGATATTTATTTTGAATGTTTATATTGAATCGATAGACTTGCCCACAAAACAAGAAAATAAATTCTCGGATTGCGTTCTATAAATGTAATTTTATTTTGCCGTTTCTCAAAAACATTCCCTCGTGATTCTGTAATTACAAAAAATGGTTAAGGTTAATTAGATATATTGGTTGGAATCTAAAGAAAAACTCAACAATTTGCAGCAAGCATTTACTTGAGAAGTATAAAAGAAAAAAGTAGAATTAAAGCAATATTTATTTATTTAAAGGAGCCATTTCTACATTATTTAATTTTGTTCCAGTAAGTATAATTTTGTTATAATAAGATTTTAAAAATTTAACTTTCAAAAGTTAAGATAAAAATAGAGACACATTTTTTACATTACAAAACAGTACATTAAATTATTCTATTTGAGCCATCATTAACCTAACTAAGTATCTATTTTAAATCAAAAAAATGTATAAGCTTACTTCACCACCCGCAGCTCACGGTCACACTAGTGCAAAATTCATAGCATCACGCTTTTTCCCCAAGGGGTTGCGCGGAGATTCGGATTATATTCCCAAGTAACAATGATAAAACTTTTAGCCTAGTTTGATATAATATATTTAGTAATGCTCTTGAAGCTTCACTGGATGCCTGCGCATGAGACGCGTGGTTCAATGTGCCAGGATAGTGTAAATTCCATAGTATTTGATACTCACAACGCTCAACGCCTGATTCATGCTTGATGGCCTAAGACATTATGCCGAGGGCTTAGATAGCGTGGTTTATCGCCTAAAGCTTTAGTCGTAGAGAAGAGGAATTTGTGGTTAAGTAATAGCTGCGCGGATTAATAGATCTGCGAGATTTAATGCATTTGCCGCGGTCAGTCCATGAATGAGTGACCATTTTCTTAACATGCCGAGTTTGAGAAAATAGAGTGCATCTGTATCCTCAGACACTTGGTGCCCTTTACTCTGTTAAGATCATTATGTTTTTAAAATTCATGCATTTAAAATGGTAATAAGTTTATTATTACTTTATACTTTCCAGGGACAGATGAAAGGATATAAACATGAACCATAATGAAGCTTCATAAACATATTGGCCCTTAAACACAGCAATCTTATTTAACTGATTCCTACAAGTTTCCTTAATTAAACTATTAAGTTTACATTCATATTTACGTCGAATGTTAAAATAAACTTCTATAATTATTAATTATCAAAAGATATACTTATATGAAAAATAAAGCAGCCATTATGTAGGGAGAACCCGTTTTATTTCCCCGTCAAAACATTTTATAAAATATAAATAGACATTTTCTTAGTTAAGTATCTACCTATTTATATTAACTATATGTTAAAAAAGAAATTCTGGGAAAACTGTCCATTGCAGTAAATATTTTTCTCCAAAGATCATAACTCGAAAACACAACTTTCTGATCTGATTCTTGATGACTGTTTTTTTAAGTTTATCGGTAGAGTCTCCTGGGATTTTTTGCATTTGAAAAGACAGGTAGGTTATTCCGAAGAACATGATATATGAATATTTAAAAAAAAAATAGAACTATCATGGTAAAAATTCCGTTAATTTTTGAAGATCCCTAACAAACATTTTTCGATAGTACTTCTAAGTACCGCACCGCTAACTAGCGCACAGAATGACAAATAAAAATTAGTCACGCGTTTTCGGGCTGTCAGTGGTATAAACCACAGAACACTATTACTCCGGTCTATATCAGTCTATACGCCAGTATATTCTATGTTCCTACCACAGTTGATTTTTTGCTTATGGAGTGAAGAGTAGAAGGAGGACCATCTCTGTATATGAAAAGTGTCCCTAAAAACGCGTCCAATAAGGGTGGCGCTGTAGTAGCATAGGATAAATTTAAAAAATAGCGCCAAAATTATTTAGAATAAGATGGAGAAATTAACAAGGACCGACCAATCCGCTTGGTTTTGTACTACGTAAATAGTTGAGGTTTTGTATACTATATATTTTACTAACTACTCTAGTCATGAAATTTTTTAAATATTTTTGAATTCAGTTGACTTCACTCCGTCTACAACAGCTATATTCATATCGTAGTTTTTCAGATGCCAGCGCTATTGTGGTAGGTACGGAACCTCTATTTTCAGTATATAGTTGGACACTTTTTCAACTTTCACACCTTATAAGATGGTTCTCCTTCTACTATACACTCCATAGTTTTGCCTAAAGGGGAGTTCCCACAACTAATATTTGTAATAGACAAAGTTACTGAAATAAAATAATTGGATTTGAATTCGAATCTGTGGAGTAACCTTGCTCTTAATAATCTATATTGGTATATCTATCTGTACTCTACTCTACTGCTATAAGCTATACTCTGTTGTCTATGTCTATTGTCTGCTACTGATTGTGATTCTTCTGATTTCTATTCGTAATCGTAACTTTATTTTATGTTTTAATTTGTGTGGACAATAGTTTTATCCTTAGATTTTTTTGTACATAGGTAACTTTTTAAGTTAATTAATTAAAGATGGCAGATTTTTTGGAGTCAGAGGCAGAGGAAAGCGAGGTTAGTACCAATTTGCAAAGTAATTAATGAACCATTTAATTATTTCAATGTTTTTTTTTTCAATTTTAATTAGTTTAACATATTCATTTTATACGTGAAATTGTATTTGTAACTACATAGTTGGAATCTGAAGATGAACAACCGGCAGAACGTAAAAAGCCAAAACGAAAAGCTGCAGTTCAAAGCGATGACGAAGATGACGAAGAAGAAGGTTTGTTCTAATTTCTACATCGATTTCGGAATTCTCTTGATAACTTTTAGATCGTTGTCGTTAGATAGGATCTCAGCAGGATAATTGGTTTTAAAAATACTTATTTTTCCATGTTTAAAATTAAAGTTAAAAAATTAGGTTATTAAAGAAGAAAGTTAGTTTTTTTACTTAATCAAAAAATATAATTTGTTTTTTTGTTTTAACACTATACTCATGTTTCAGATGAATAGAGAAATACTCAAAAACTCATGATTATCATAAAATTTGATAAAAATGTTATGATTTTGACACATGAATTAAAAACATTATAGATCATTATTGTAAATATTATCACATTTCTGATAAAACATGTCAATTCTATAGGTATAGGGAATGTTAATTAATATCTATCATGTATTCAAGAGAAATTAAAAAAAAAATATTTATCTTTAAGATGATGAAGAGAGACTTCGGGAGGAATTAAAAGATTTAATTGATGATGCGCCTATTGAGGAGTCTGGAAGTGATGGGGAGGATTCAGATGCCAGTGTTGGACCAAAAAAAAGAAAGAAAAGTGATGATGAGTTGGATGATAGATTGGAAGATGAAGATTATGACCTTATTGAGGAGAATCTTGGAGTTAAAGTTGCTAGAGTAAGGCTTTTATTTTATCATTTTACAACAATGTCTTTTTTTACCATTATATTTTCTTACTAGCTGTCTCTCGTGACTGCCCGCATGGGACTTACTACGATTTTGTGGGTATTTAATTTTTTTTTTGCATGGAACCCTAATTATTTTTCTAAAATAAAAGTATCCTAAATTATTCCTTATAACATCAGCTATCTGCCAGTGAGTTTTGTCAAAATCGGTCCAGCCGTTATGGAGATTACCCTGAACAAACAGACAGACTTTAAAAATTGTTTTTTTTGTTATTAATACTGTATATAATTTCATATGCATTTAGTAAAAAGCTGTTATGTTAACATTACAAACAGACACTTTAATTTTATTTATTTGTGTAGATACCTATGGAGTACACTATATTAGTTAGAGTTCACATTTTGGTGGTATATTGACTTTTAAATTTTTTGAAATTAGTTGTATTTAATATTCTACCTTGTATATACAATTTTTGTTACAGTTACTAATTTGTAAGATTTGTTATGTAATATTTTTGTTATCATATAGCAATAAATATACTTATTTTCAGAACAAGTTCAAGCGCTTAAGGCGCTTAGAAGATGATGATAGTGACAATGAGGGAGCTGATGATCCAGATTTGGAAAGAGAAGTGATTGCAGAGAAGCTTTTTGTTGGTGGTTCAGATGAGGTAAGCTCATATGGACAGTGTATGATAAATATTCGTGGGAACGCAATGGATAATCGTAAAAATAATTTAATTAACGAAAATGGCGGCAATGTGGTTCGCCACCCATCACGTCTCGTTTCTCGCGGGGGCGAAAAGTGACCCACGGAGAGCCCCTTTGCTACGTTGAATGTAAAAGGAGGAATGGATGGTAAGGTAGATGAAGTATGTCAGATGATGGATGAACGATGCATTGATATTCTGTGCGTGAACGAAACCAAGAGGAAAGGATGTGACACAATGGTTCATGGCCCCTACACGGCATACTGGTCGGGAGTCTCCCAAACCAGCCGAGGCTGTCAGGGAGTTGGTGTGATTCTTTCATCTCAAATAGTTGAATTTGTGATGGAGCATGAATGTGTGTGTAAGCCCAAGACTCCTCTGGATTAGGTTAAAAGTCGGACTCACTCGCTTGTTTATTTGCTTGCTTGGGTCTATGCACTGACGGATCTGCGTGGAGGTGGGTCATTAAAATCCCAACAAGAGAGAGAGGAATTTTGAGATAGCATGAGACAGGTCTTGAATAAATGTGGAGAAAATGAACGGATTGTGATGTTAGGGGACTTTAATAGATGGGTTGGAGTAAAGCGTGATGGATATGAAGGAGTTCTGGGTACGTTTGGCGACGAGAGAGTGAATGACAATGGGAGAAGCCTTCTTGAAGTTTGATTGGAATGGAATCTGTGCGTGGCCAACACAATGTTTGACCACAAAAAGATCCATTTGTATACAAGAGATGAGGGTGAGTCCAGAAGTATGATTGATTTTGTAATTGTAGATGAAAGACTGAGGAAGAAAGTGCTAGACACTCTGGCATACCAGGGTGTAGGCCTCGACACATACCACTTCCTGGTCATAGCCCGAATGCGTGGCCTCTTTAAACGGTGGTGACACAGAGGGGCCGAGCCTACGAGTGTTTTGGACAGAGTAAAAGTGGAAAATCTACAAGAAAAAGAAAAGAAAGACGAGTATGTAGACAAACTGAAAGAAAGTTTTAAAGGGATAGAAAAGATAGGTGTGATTGAAGATGTGTGGGAGACATTTAAGAAAGGGGTTGTGAATGTTGCTATTGAGGTATGCGGAGTAGCTAAAAGAAGGAAAGGAAGAAAGAATGATAACGTGTGGATGGATAAGGATGTACAAAGGGTTGTGCAAAAAAAGAAGAAAGCGTCGTTGGATTGGTTAGCAACAAAAGCTAACCAAAAAGTTCAAAATGCAACGGATGATGAGATAAAGGAAGCACAAACGAAGTATAAAAGATTGAAAACAGCAGCGAAAGAAATTGTGTCTAGAAAGAAAGAAGAACGAAAGGATGATTTCGATAGGAGGCTCACTGAAGATTTCCAGTCAAACATTAAGTTTTTCTGGAAATCCATCAAAATAGCCAGAGGAAAAACTTCTCCCTCGGAGCTGAGTACAATCAGGAGTCAAGATGGGAGCATTATAAAAGGAGAAGAATGTGTGTTAAAGAGATGGAAAGAGTATTTTGAAAGTTTGAAAGAGAGGAAGTGCAGGTACAGCATCTGCCACCTTCCACAGAAACTAATATAAATGTTGATGAAAATGAGATAAGCATGGATGAAATAGTGAAAGCGTTGAAAAGTTTGAGATTAGGTAAGGCTGCAGGGTATGACAGGATTACCGTTGAGATGCTGAGGGCTGGATGGGGCCTGGTGGCTAGTCAGCTGTACCGCCTTTTCAATCTGTGCTGGCGAAATGGTCAAGTACCGGGAGACTAAAGGAAAAGGGTCACGGCAGGACTGCATAACTTACCGCGGTATAAGCCTTCTCAGCGTCGTCAATAAATTGTATGCGAAAGTGTTGATTGAAAGGGTTGTGAATGAAACAGACGAAAAAGTATGGGATGCACAAGCGGGATTTAGAAAGGGAATGGGATGTACAGATCAGGTCTTTTCGTTGTGGTGCATAGCTGAAAAGTGTTTGGCTAAAAACAAGAAGGTCTACTGCGCGTTCGTGAATCTAGAAAAGGCCTATGTTAGAGTGGTGAGGAATGAATTGTGGTCAGCACTGTTCGTGAACGGTGTGAGCAGTATCCTCATAAGGGCATTGCAATTTCTTTATAGGGATTTTAGTGCTTGTGTAAGGATAAACGGGGCATACACTGAATGGTTTAATATCGAAAAAGGTGTAAGACAGGGATGTGTAGCGTCACCGTGGCTGTTTAATCTGTTCATGGAAAATTGTTTGACAGATTCAAAAGAGAATGAAAGTGGGTTGAGAATGAATGAGTTACTCATCAAATGTTTTCTCTATGCTGATGACCAAGTATTACTTGCGTCTTCGGCCGAGGAGTTGCAGGAGATGGTAACTGCTATGAGTGGAGCTTTTGTTAGAAAGGGAAAGAAGATGAATGTAAGGAAGACGAAAGTGATGGTGTTTGAAAAAGATGAAGCAGTGACAGATTGCAATATCGTGATTGAAGATGAACAAATTGAACAGGTGAAAGAGTTTGTGTATCTGGGTTCAAAGTTTACAAGAGATGGAAAGTGTGAGAGTGATATCGAAAGAAGAGTGAATGCAGGAAACATGGTGAATGGAGCTTTGCACTTCTTTATGAGCAGTCGGAAGGTGTCTAACAAGGCTCGTTTGGCTGTGCATGAGCGGGTGTTGGTTCCGACACTCATGTATGGAAGTGAAAGTTGGGTATGGCATAAGAAACATGAAAGCAGAATAAATGCAGTTGAGATGAGAGCTTTAAGAAGTATGATAGGAGTTAAACTGAGTGACAGGATAAGAAATAGTGAGATAAGGGAACATTGTAGTCTGAAAGAAGATGTGGTGACAAAAATTGAGAAAGGTATGCTGAGATGGTTTGGCCATATCTAGAGAATGAATGAAGAACGATTGACGAAAAAAGTGTATAAGGCGAGTGTGAATGAAAGTGTTGGAAAGGTAGACCTAGGCGGACATTTCTAGACCAAATCAGGGACGTCTTGAAAAAAGGCCAGGTCAAGAGTACCCTAGACCGTAGAGCATGTATGAAGGGAATAATGAAAGTGGACAAAGCGAAACAAGTATGTAAGGATCGTAGCAAGTGAAAAGAAGTGGTCTCTGCCTACCCCTACGGGAAAGAGGCGTGATTATATGTATGTATGTATGTATGATAAATATGCAGATGCTAAAGGCTAGAGTATTAATGTTTACAATTTGTAAGTGTACATCTATAACATTGGTTGTATTCCAAACATATTCCAAGTTTTATTCTCAACTAGGCTTTGTATGGTTCATTTATGGTTCTCGACAACAACACCACCCACCGGGTCTAATCATGAATCTAAAACATTCTTTAATCAACTTAATCATTAACAAAATGTTATCAAAATCGGTCCAGCCACTTAGGAGTTAAGTCACATACACACAGACAGAAGAATTATATTATATAATATATAATATACATGTATTATAGATATAAACCTTCCTCTTGAATCATTCTGTCTACTGATGAAAATGGCATTAAAATCCACTGTATAGTTTAAAAAATCTAAGCATACAGAAGGCGGGAAGCGACTTTGTTTTATACTATGTAGAGATTCTCTTCTAATTTTGTACTAACATTAATAAAATTGAGTTCAGCATTTGCATTTTTATTATGTCATGTATTAATACAATAACAATATAGACTGGGGAGGATGAAGTATGTAAACCTTTTTGAATACTACCTTTAGAAAGGATTACTACATCCAAGTTAAAAACATCTTTTCTGATTAGAAAAGGGAACATTGACAACAAAAACATTAAAACATAATAAATTAACAATGAAAAAAATGTTATTGTTATTTTAAAATATATAATTTGCTATACAATTAGCTTAAAATGAAGCAATGTATTAAAATCAGTCGCACCTCACCATGATTAAAGAAATCGACCAGAGGAAAAGTTTCATGCAACCATGCTATGATAGATTACCCAACTACAAGCTTAAGGGGCGTGTGTGCGTGAGCACTGGTGGCTCGTCACGTATGGAGAAAAACTGCTCTAAACCAACTCGGCCAATGCTCAAACCCAGGGTCATCATGCATCTGGCTTGTTTTCGTTTCACATTTGATCAATAAAAATAAGTAAAGAATAAGATTCATGTAAAATATAAAAAAGTGTAAATATGGTTTCCTGTACTGTGTGTATGAACAATAATTGAATATATATACAACATGTAACAAAATCCCTGTGGTTCCTGTTAAGTGCATTATCAGTCAGTATTCAAACGTAAAGAAATAACATTTTTTCAAAAAACTTGAACATTAAAAAATTATTTTAATTTAAAAATAATAATTTGCGAATTGTAATTGGTCTTATTACCTCTGCATTATCCGGAGAATAAGAGGATTGTGAAAGACCCCCCTTCACCGATGTTCGTGTCTGTTAGTGTGCTTGGTACCGTGCTTTATGGCATTCCTTGGGGGAGGCCTATGTTCAGCAGTAGACTTATGAAGGGCTGTAATGATGATGATGATGATGGTATTATTGTATAGAGTTCGTTGGGACCTTTGCAGGATTAGCCAATTCGACAAATTGTGAATGCTAAAAGAAAACTATCAATATTAACTCGCACAACATATCACACCACTTAACATTGGGTTACGTCAATCCCATTCATTTTTATAGTTTTGTATTAGCATTAACAATTGTAGAAAGTCAACTTGACTAACTCTGCTGGAGCTCTACAAAATTAATAGCTAAGAAGCTTTATTAATATAAAGATTTTCATATTATTAAGAAGTTAGGTTTAACTAAAATATTTATTTTTGCATACAGGAGGATGAAAACCGTTCAGAATCTGCTGCTCCACGTGAAGCAGAGTATGATGACGAGAATGAGGACATGGAATCAGATGCTGATGACTTTATTGTGGATGATGATGGTCGGCCCATTGCTGAGCGCAAAAAGAAACGAAAGCCTATCTTTACAGATGCGTGAGTTTTTTTATATGATTAATAATCATTGATTATAAATTGTGGTTCTAAAAATTACTAGTTTATTATTCTATTGGATTTAATATATAATTTATATTGTAAAGGAGTTTTCTTTACCACCAAGTATCTGGTGATAAGGAAATCTGCATGCTGAAATAAAAAATATTATAAGTTACATAGACTTTTTCACTTTATGGAAGGAGGCTTTGCAGTGAGTTGTGTAATATTCCTTTGCCTTTTTACAGTTCTCTTCAAGAGGGCCAAGATATATTTGGTGTTGATTTTGATTATGATGAGTTTGAGAAATATGGTGAGGAAGATTATGAAGATGAAGAAGATGAAGATCTTGATGAGTACATTGAAGATGAGGAGGAAGAAGGTATGTGTAAATCTTTTTGGACTCTGATAGGTAAAAGCTAGCTTAAAGTAAGCTTAGTAAAGAAGTCAAACACCTTATTCCCCCTGTGACCTGTTCCCTGTGAATGCGTGCTGAAAAATAAGTCAAAATTAAACTCTATTTATAATAATCTATTTTTGAAGGTGAAAGAAGAAGAACCAAGAAAGGGAAGGCTAAGCGACCAAGCAAAAAGTCCATATTTGAAATTTATGAGCCCAGTGAATTGAAAAGGAGTCATTTTACTGATTTAGATAATGAGGTAATAAGAAATCTTTTATTATTGCCTTATTTTTACATACACATCAATAGGACATTCCATTTCATTCCAATTCTTTTATATTAAATACAAAAAACAATGAATCATACATTTTCATATATGTTTTTTCGATGTAACATATTAGTTAAATATTAAAATTACCGATTTATGTACATACAAATTGATATTATTCTAGGCAAATTAAAAATAGTAGTAAACTACTTTTGTCCTCCAGATACGTAAAACAGACGTTCCAGAGAGGATGCAGATCCGTGAGGTACCTATAACGCCGGTAGAGGAAGGTAGTACAGAATTAGAAGATGAAGCCGAATGGATATACAAGCAAGCATTCCTAAAACCACCTGTATCAAAGGCTGATACACAAGAGGCACGCGAGAGGTCGCGAAGGTATAGATTTATTTTACAAATTATTTTATTGTAATGATAATTGATACAATTTTTTGTTTAATAGCTAAATTAAAAATAATAATAATGGTTAGGTTTAGTTAAGAAAATTAGTTTGTGTGACAGTTTACAATTCTTTACAATTCTCGATACATATAGTAATTAATTTTTGTTATATTTTAGAGGTTCAAGTACGGTTGTCAAAATTCGTCAGGCCTTAGATTTTATGCGAAATCAAACGTTGGAGGTGCCATTCATTGCATTCTATCGCAAAGAATATGTTCAGCCAGAGCTCAGCATCAATGACTTATGGAAGGTCTATAAATATGATGCCAAGGTAAGAGGTAAATTAGTTATTAATGGAAATGTAGTTATTTGTTGCATAAATATATAAAACAAAACTATATTGTTTTTATGTCCAGTGGTGTCAATTAAAGCAGCGCAAAGAAAATTTGCTTAAATTATTGGAAAACATGCGCGAATTTCAATTAGATAAAGTGATGGCCAACCCCGATGCACCTATACCTGAGAATATGCGTCTTATAAAGGATGAAGATATAGAAAGGTAGTATATTGTTTTTTTTTATTAAACAAAAATGACAAACTTACAGTCAACCTGTTGGTAAGTGGCTACTACAGCTTATGGAAACACGTGTGGGAGTTGAGAGTGTCAATAAAAGTCACCACATATAATGCACAAAACGTTTATTGTCTACAAGTACACAGAACATTTAAGAAGGCCGATAGTGTATACAGTGAAAACACAGGAAAGACAGTCTAACACAAACAATAGAATTTACACAACTCGAAATGCACCTCGCGACTACTATAATTATATCAACGAACACGATAGCCCGGACAAGCGCGAGGGTGGCGTGCGTTCGACGTCGAAAGCAGCTGCGGACTGGGGGGGGGAACCCGCTCACGAACAAGTCGATTGAAACGTGGTCGCTTGATCTAGATACGGTTGTGCCATTTGTTTGACGAGTAGCTGTACTCTCACTCGCTGCGGCGCGTTGAAGTTCCAGGTTCGATATGCCTCCACACATGCAACCGACTTCAAACAAAGAAAGCTTCGGATGCAAAGGAATGCCTCACAGCCTGTTATTGTACTGGCTCTCTATACCCTCCAGAACAGTAAACAGGAGTGCAAGCATTGCTATTTGGTACCTACTCAGATAGACTCTTAGAATGGAACTCCTATCATCTTGTTGATGTTTGGGGTAAGTAATAATTTAATTAATAGAATCCGGCGTTACTTTGCGAAAATCTATTATATTAAAGTTGGTAAAAATTACCTCGCGTACATCCGCTCGATAAAATAAAATGATGTGTCTTACCTAGTTTGGTCTAGGTGCTCTTCAAACTAGGTAAAACACATCATTTCATTTTATCGAGCGGATGTACGCGAGGTAATTTTTATCAACTTTAAGTAGTAACTAATAAGATCCGAGTTTTTGCCGTGAATTGACAGCATAAGAGAATCCATTACCCCATATCATCCCATGGGTGTCGTAAGAGGCGACAGAGCGGAATGAAACAGGGGTTGGGCAGCAGTATCTCCCTGATGACAACTGAAAATAATAAAAAAAAACACTATTTTACACATTCACATGCACACAATAATAAGCTTACCTGTTTTAAATGATGGGTGCATGCACCCAGTTCAATTATATGAAAATTTAAGATTTTTGATGTTTTATGGATTTAGGTATAAGACATAGAAAAATTTTTTACACAATCATTTTTCCTGTACTCTTCCATTCTAGGGAGGATATACTTCAGACTGATTGACGATCACAGTACCGGACATTTCACACCTTTAACTGCTGCCTGTCACCAGTCTGGGTATTTCACGTCTGGCGTAAACGATATGGTAATCCTGCCATCTACCGGAATCCATAACCTTTCTGGCATATAATCGTCTTTAAAATATCCGCGAGGCGATATGAGATGATACCCATTACCTCACGCCTCGCTGATTTGCCTTTACAATGCAGTTATTTTAAAAATGTACAACATGCAATTGATATCTTCTAATTGCACTTTTTTAATTAGTCAGTGTAGTTCTCAAACAATACGTAAAGGTTATACATAGGAGAAGAAACATAGAGACTGTCACCCATACTTGGTTAGCTTCAGTTTTATGAAGTGTTGTCTTTGTCATTCACCTCCTTATGATTTTATGTTGCGGACTTGTCAGTTGTTTACTGTTTAGCTTCCACTTCAAAGTATATAATAATATTTAGTTGGTAAATGTTTTCTAAATGCATATTTTTTTCATTCACAAAGCATGTGGTTGTTTTGCTACTCTTACTGGATACTAGAGTATTAATACTTCGTGTGACACAGACAATCATCTACAAAGACAATTATAGCTAAAACATACATTTTAAAGCTTGATAATATATAATGTTTTTACAGACTTTATTAACTTTTCTACCGACTTCAAAAAGGAGGAGGTACTCAATTTGTCCTTTTTTATGTGTGTTACCTCATACCTTTTTTCTCGGTGAACCGATTTCGATGATTCTTCTTTTATATAATTTATATTGAAGTCGATTGTACAATTTTTTTTTATTTTTAATTTTTTATTATATATGGTAGAGCCATGCTGCAGCTATATTACTGTATCGATGTAGCACGAATGGGTCGGCTTGACCGGGGAAGGACCACGTCCTCACAGAATACCAGTGTAAATTAGCTGCTAAACACTGCTGTGTTTCGTATGGTAAGTGTAGAGAACCGGAGACCCCTTTTACTGGAAAAGAGGCATTCCATCTTAGTCCTTACGGGTGATAAGGCATCTGCATTTTGTATCTTTATTGAGTATATGTAGTGGTGGTCATATAATTAGAAACACTTCTTATGAATAAAGAAAGTATAACTTCAACGTACAAAAATGTTCGTAAAAATAGACACATTCAATAATTAATAATCATGCAATAATATAGCAACTCAAATAAAAAACTCATTAAATGCATAAAATATAAAACATACCTTACTTTTAATTACAAAATGAGTCTTACACATGTAGGAGTTTATTTTCTGTTACTGGCTGCTTGGACGCCTAATTAGATATATATAGCTCGTTCTTTTTTTGAAATTGGAAAATAACATTTCTTTCTTGGCTAATTTTATTATTTTGGCGGCAATTCAAAATTTAATCTGAATTTTATTTTGTTCGAAATGGACAAAAATAAAAATTGTGACGCGTCAACTAGGCAATTAATAGTTAATTTACATATAGATCATAAGTGGGCGTACAGAAGAAATGCTGAGCATTTAAATTGTTCTGTTAAGAAATTTTTTAATGCAATTGATCATTATAAAACACATAGAACTGTTGAAAATGTTCTTAGAAAGGCTCGGCCAAGAAAAACCACTTCCAGAGAAGATCTTACGCTAAACGTTTGTGTTGCTAAAAAAGACCCAAGTAAAGGCTCCAACCAGACTAAAAATGAAGTTTTTTAGCCTGATGACCCGAGAAACATCTCGTCAAGACTGATACACCGAAGATTAGTGGAAGCTAAATTATTTGGGAGAATCTCTCGAAAGGTACCGGTTATTATCAAGCAACACTTAGAAAAGCGATTATTATTTGCTAAAAAAATATGTAATTGGACAGTACGAGAATGGAAAAAAAGTGTTATTTTCAGATGAAACAAAAATAAATATGGTAAATTCCGATGGAAAGCGCTATGTTAGACGTCCTGTAAACAATGCTTTTAATTATAAATACACAAGGAGTATAGCCAAGCACGGTGGCGGTAACATTAAAGTTTGGGGGTGTTTTTCCGTATGTGGAGTTGGACCCGTTCGGAAGATTGAAGGTACAATGGATCAATGGCAATACAAAAATATCTTAGAGCACACAATGATTCCCTACTCGGATGATCATTTGCCAGTAACCTGGATCTTTCAGCATGACAATGACCCTAAACACACGGCCAATGGCGTCAAATGTTTCCTTAGCGAACAGCGTATATTCGTTGTAGACTGGCCAGCAAATAGTCCGGATTTAAACCCAATCGAAATCTCTGGTATATTGATAAAAAGAAAGTCTCATACAAACGTAGCACCAGTCATAACGAACTATATGAAGTATTTGTTGAAGCATGGAATTCAATCCCCATAGAAAAATGTATGAAATTGATTGAATCAATGCCATGTCGTTGCAGTGCTGTTATTGAAAATAACGGATACGCCACTAAATATTAATTATAACTATTGGTAGGCTGTGGATAGTAGCTATTTCGTAAATAACAATACTAATTACTAATACTTAAAAATACTGTTTTTTATACTTTTTATTGTTGTTTCTAATTAGTTGACCATTATTGTTCATACCTTAAAACTGATTTAAATGTTTGTGCGTAATGTAATATTTAAACTGCACTTGTGTAGTGGGATTTATATTGTTTTCTAATAAATAATAAATCGTTGAACATATTGTTGTCCTATTTATTGATTAATTTCAAAATAAAAACGATTGCGGTGAAGTATCTTACATAATGTCAAGGACCGTTGGTAGTGTTTCTAATTATACGACCACCACTGTATGTAGATGTCTATGGGTCACAGCAACCACTTACCATCAGGTGGTCTGTGTGCTCGTTTATCACCCTAATTCTATATAAAAAAATGTTTGTACTGCTTTCTAAAATAATTCACGCAATGAGTTTTAAAACCAGGTTGAAAAATGTGCAAACTCCAGAAGAGTTGCGGGACGTGCACACACACTTCCTTCTGTACTATTCTAATGACCTACCGGAGATGCAAAAGCTACAGCGCGCTAAGGAGAAGCAAAAGGAGATAGAAGAGAAAAAGTAAGTATGAATCATCTATATTGATGTTAACTTATATTAGTTAAGGCAAGACCCGACAAAATTTAAAAAAAGGTTATTTACTGTATTATATACCGAGTGACGATAAAGTTATCACATTAAATGAAAAGACGTATCCTATATAAATTTCTTTAAACATACACAACTAAAAAAATATATAATAATTAATATTCTAGTGGCCGTAGCATTTTTTTTCATTTTAATATTAAATAACATGTAAATGCATACAGATATCACCCGATGAATACTAGAAGGTCAAAGACCCATGGTATTTGAAGACGAAGATACCTAGTTTAAACGTTGCCAATTCGAAATACTCAAATAAAGAAAAAAATCAAGCAAAAATGTACTTACGGCTAACAATTTAAGGCATAATTTTATTAAAATTAAAAACAAAGAGACCGCGCGCTGCGGGTCTGTGAAAACTAATTCAAGCGAAAAATTTACTTTAAGTAAAGGACTTAACCCATTCGTTGCGGTGCACGCACAACGGCGTAATTTAAATTGTCATTCTTAGGCGGATGACACCGATCGGCGTAAATTATATTTTAGCCATAACTTGGCCAATTTCTATTCTAAAGGGATATACTTTTTATATGTGCATGTTTTACAAACATACAACATCTTTATAGTTTTCGTTTCTGTGAATAATTATTTTAGAAAAATGACAAAACTGTCCTCAGGCGCGGAAAACGCCAAACGGCGTCCTCCAGAGGTTATCGACATTGAAAACATTTGGATTAAATAATTAGATATTATTTATTTTAGTTAGGTATCTTATTTTATAGAATTAAAGAACAGTAATAGGTTCATACTATGAGCAATCTTCATTTCATAGTTGATAGTTAAACATTTTGCTGCGTTGATATGATTCGCTAGTTCTTTTTTTATATATTCTTCATCATCTCTAGTGTAAAAAGGAAAAAAAGAGCATCCAGAAAATTAAAACGAAAACGGCGTATTAATAAAATCCAACATCTTGGATTGTTAAAACCGTTCATATAGGTAATCATTGTTTCGCATACTTGTGAGAGTAGTTTCTTAAACAAAACTACAACTACGTAAGTGTTCATAATATTTATTTAATAATATCAACAATCATCAAACAACATGTAGGCTCACAGCATACCTATGCCACAAACATTATTCCGAGTCTTCTTAGTTGGGTAAACTTATGTCGTCCACATCCTATTGGTGACGTACTTTCCTCACAAGATTTATTATATTAACACATGTTACAGATCTTTTTTTCATTGGAACAAGATCTAATTCGTAAGCGATCAGTTGAGCAAACGCTTTGTTTCGGTGGCCAGTTGGTTCCCCGTTTGCAAAATTCAAAATTGGGTAATTGTGACATACATTTATACTCATTAGAATCGAAAATGTTGCGTTCATATAAATTTGCATCCTAAATGTCCTGTGACGATATCTGTGTCTCTTTATTTTGTCTAGATGTGACTTTTTTCGCATCAACATTATCAAGATGATAATGTTGATCATCACATGGCTTTCTTTTCTGCCGACTTCCAAAAAGGAGCCGGTACTCAATTCGACTGTATGTTTTTTTTTTTTCGTTTTTTTTTTTTATGTGTGTTACCTCAGAACTTTTTTCTGGGAGAACCGATTTCGATGATTCTTTTTTTATTTGAAAGCTGGTACTTCTCGTGTGGTCCCATATGAATTTGATCAAGGTCAGACCAATAGTTTTTAAGTTATTCTTAAATAACTTATATTGAAGTCGGCTGTACAAAATTTTTAATTTTAAATTATTAGCGAACCAAATTGTCTCACACCGTCACTCAATAAACTCACTCAGTGACGATGGTCGAGCCTCACCTTCCAAGACCACCAAGAGAAAGTCATTATTAATTATTAAGTGAAACAAATTACGATGCACTAGAAATAGTATGTTTTTTTTTTTTTTTTTTTTTTTTTATAGAATAGGGGGCAAACGAGCATGCGGCTCACCTGATGTTAAGTGACTACCGCCGCCCATGAACAACCGCAACACCAGGGGAATTGCAGATGCGTTGCCGGCCTTTTAGAAAGGTGTAAGCTCTTTTCTTGAAGGTTCCTAAGTCGTATCGGTTCGGAAAATTCGCTGGTGGTAATTGATTCCACAAAGAAGTTGTGCGAGGGAGAAAACTTCTTCTAAATCGCACAGTGGTGGACCGCCAATCATCCAGATGGTATGGATGGTAACGCGAGTTTTGTCGCGACGTGCGATGGTGAAATTGAGCGGCTGGAATTAGTCCGAACAATTCCTCAGAGCACTCCCCGTGATAGATGCGATAAAATACGCAAAGAGATGCAACATCTCTACGCAGTGCCAGTGTATCGAGCCGATCGGAAAGAACTCGGTCGTCGACGATTCGAATCGCTCTGCGCTGGATGCGGTCAAGTGGAAGGAGCTGGCACTGGGGTGCCCCGGCCCAGAGATGAGAACAGTATTCCATGTGGGGCCGAACTTGCGCTTTGTAAAGTTGCAAGCGATGTGCCGGCATGAAATACTGTCTCGCTCTGCTGAGCACGCCAAGCTTTTTAGAGGCCAATTTGGCCTTCCCTTCCAAGTGACCACGAAACTGCACGCTATTCGATATGTCGACGCCAAGGATTCCGATACTGGCTGAGGCAGCAAGGGGAGTGCCTTGAAACTGAGGAGACTGAAAACCCCCTCTCTTCCTTTCAACTACTAATTAAAACACTACTTATTATATTTAATACATTTAAAATAGTACACTAAATACTATTATTAAAAGTATTTTTAACTTTAAAAATCAGATAACAGGTTTGCAATCCCTGGTCATATTTCAATAATATTAAAAGTATTAATATAAAAACCAATTTCGTTATTCAAAGTGTAATTAGAAATCTTTCTATAATGTGGAACATATCCCTTACTGTACTAAATAGAATAGAAATAAATTCACTCACTATTTCCAGCCATATTTATGGTTAATAGGAAATCGCTAGTATTTTTAATAAAAATTCACTGTTTTAATCACAAAATAACTTATTATATACAAATGCAACTTGGCCACTGAATACGCAGTCACTTGGTATGGCGTAAAGTGATAAGCGTCAATAAAATTCTGTCTAAACAAGGAAGAATTATATTCATGTGCGGGAAACGCCGATCGGTGTCAGTGTTTAAATATGAGGTGCGTCTGATGCCTATCGGAGTTAGCTCTTTGAACCGCCCGCCCCTACGTATTAAAGGTGATTTTTCGAGCCGCATTGAATGGGTTAAGACATAATTATCTATGCGCAAAGTGACAAGAAATGGGACGGGGTGTCGAAATTCATATTTACCTCTGGCGTGTGCGATGATTAGTAAGAAAGTACGTCACTTAGTCTGACGCCGGCGTCCTTGGGGATGGTTTATGAGTCGCTTGACCTAATTTTCGTTTCTCGCGTACACGTCCTTTAAGTTTTAATTGTTGTTTTTTTTTTTTGGTTTTGCGGACATTTTAATAAGTTTCTTAATTTGTTTGTGATAGGACACGTTAATAATACGCTAGTTAATTATATTTAATAATTTAGTGGTGTGACAGGCCGTGCGCAATCGCGAGCTTTTATTTTTTTAACGTCTTAACTTTTTTTTAAATTTAAGATGCTTTGTATCACAATTTCACGTCGTCAGAATATACCGACATGATTTTTTTCTAAATTTGATTTGTTTTGATTATTGAACTTGAGTGATTTCAAGATTGAAGTGATTATTTGGATAAAAACAATACCATGATGATACCAAAGGATGATTTATTTCTTGTCAATTTTTTACGCTATTTATTTTGTTTGAGAAATGCATTTTTTATTTTCTTTTATTATTGTTTATTTTAGTATTTTAACAGACATAATATATCAACTTGTATTAACTGCTGTGTTATTTAACGTTATAACCTAAGCGCCACCCAGTATATAGTATGCAGATAATTCCCCAAACTTAATAGAAGCCAGTTATTTCGATATTACAAACAGAAAGTACGATTTTATTATACGTGGAGATGTGTGAAGTACCGAATTGTGATGTGAACAGGAGAGTGGCACGGGAGGAAGCGGAGAAGAACGGCGAGGACCCGGAGGAGGCGGCGGCCGCGGTGGAGGCGGCGCTGCCCGACGACGCGGCGCCGCAAGCCGACGTCAAGTGCGCCGTGCGCTCCGGGCCCTACGAGCTGTGCCGCAAGGCGGGCATCGGTACGTACCTACAGCTATACAGGGCCAAAATACAGCTCGTTTTAAAAGTATGTTGGACTGGCTACAACAGTGACATAATGATGCGAATTGATTTTCGCCATTTTGGCGCTGATAGCAGAAGTGAGCGTCCACGGAACTAATTAAAGATAGGTCAATATGACAAAATATATTGATATAAATTATATATCTAGGCCTACCATTCTATTTATGTATCATTTTAATATAATTCCATACCATAAATAAATGTATCAATTAATAGTTATGTCTTAGACACAAGCCCTACTATACCTCATATAAAATAAAAAATTAGTCTATAACGCAGCGTCGATTTTTGGTTTTCTTCGTAACTATAGAACAGATTTTGTTGTTGGACCTTTTTGAACCTCTCGAATGAACCATACACAACCAATGCTGAAACCTGGAATTCCTAATTAACTGGAGGAGGTAACTACAATATTAAAAAATATAATTTTGTAAATAATTAATTATTAACCATTCATTTAGTCCTTGTAATAGAGAAAATCAATAAGCTGCCAAAATATTATGCCTATTTCAACAATACCTATAAGTGCAATTAGAATTTCACAAACTTAAAATTATATAAAAGAATATCATACCACAAATAATTGACGTCATAATCAATTTGCTTCGGACGACATTTCACTAGCTTTATGCTTTTTAGTCACTGTTTCAGTATAGAGTAAATAGTAATTTTAAAAACCTGTAAATTAATAAATATTTGATAATTATCTGTTGACAGCTACTTTCATTGTTGTAAGCAGATATAGGTAGAAACAGTCAATAGGTGTTTAACGAAAATAGGTAATATAAAGTCAAACATGTTAGTAATTACATTTGTTAAGATAAGTAACAGAATTTTAAGAGCCTATCATATCAAATTGTTCTAATTTTTAATATAAACTGTAAATCTTCTTACCTGTGGAATGTTACCACACTTCCCTTCTGGCACAGAATGGATAATAATAGTACTAGTACAGAAGAATCACTCTCTGATAGCAAATTTGTGAGTTTAAACCTAGTTACAACGTCGCTAATGTTCATAATACGTTGCACGCCTCGGATGCGACCTTCTTTAAAAAAATCTACCGATTTTTGCGGCATGCGTATTATAACTAATAACCAGTATGAATGCATATAATTCAATATCAGCATCTTGCATTAGCAGGCAGTCACAAGCACTGTCAGGTCTACTTACATTCAACGATTTTTTAAGGTCATTGACATTATACGCGAAAAACTGCGAAGCTGTGGTCGGGTAGCTAATCAAATAATAAATCTATAACTACGGTGTCAGTAACAAGGTACTAAGGTACCTAGTTAGTTATCTAGTTCTACCTACAAATAATAATATCTTACCATTTGATATCCTTAGGAACAGTAAAGAATGAAAAGTCGTCATTCCTATTGTTAATACAAGTCTACTTGTATAAATATATTTGGATACAGAATGCCAGAATATTAATTAGAAAGAATGATACAGTAAAAAAAATCCCTCAAATACGCACTCAGAGTGACATTAAGGCCTTTTTAGATAATAAGAAACAAGAGTAGTAATAAGAGTAGATACGACATATATATATAATAAATAATATATATTTATGTCTTCTAACTTTGATCCGCATCCACAATACCAAGATATAGAATATACGAAATACACACAAATTAATGACTGGCAAAAACATATAAATAGAGATAAAAATGCCCTACATATAATACATATAAATATATGTTCATTGAGGAAACGTTTTAACCAATTAATAGCACTCATAAAAAATTGCATAGACAGCATAGACGTTATTTGTCCATCAGAAGTTAATGTAAAAAACGACGAATTAAATTTATACAATATAGAAGGATATAACTTCTCAAGGACTAGAGAAAACAAAAGAGGAGGTGGTATAGTGATTTATATCAATGAATAATCTTTCTTTTCAAATACATAGTACAAGTAGTAGCTATTGTGAAATGATACACGGCATGCTGAAAGTACGAAACTACGATCTTGATATTATAGTGATATATAGACCGGCTCACACAAACAAACAACTGTTTGTAAAAGAACTGGAACGAGTAATTCAACGAGTGCCGATTAGTCGGGATATAATCATGTTCGGTGATTACAATATTGATATTTTGGAAGATAAATTGGACAATATCGCTTGTAGTTATCTTAATATGTTATCATCACGAGGATTACAGTGTGGAATTCAAGACATAACCCGCGAGACAGTGAGTGCGGAGCGACGGACAGCCACTTGCATCGATCATGTGTTCGTAAGAACTGAGAGCGCGTCAGAGGTGCAAGCGTATTTACTTACGAGTACATTAGCAGATCAGTACCTAACGGGACTCACCGCTGTTGTAGGTAAGCGTATGCCGCAAAATGTATGCAAAACAAGTTTGAATAACAAAGCGATTGAGAAGGAGTTAGGTGAACAAAATTGGAATGAGCTTTTAAATTATGATGACCCTATCAGTTTATATAGTAGAATCAAAACAATTTTTTGTAATATATATGACTCAGCACAAATAAAAATACAGTTGAAAAAAAGGGAAAATCAATCCTGGGTTAGTAAGTTGTTATTAAATATGATTGAAATTAAAGACAGTTTGTTCAGAAAGTGGAAATCAAATCCTAGTAATAATAATTTTAGATTAGAGTATACTAGATACATAAATAAAGTACAAATGTTAATAAATAAAGCCAAAAATGATTATAAAAAGAAAGAAATAATTAATTGTAATGGGGATATGCGCAAAATTTGAGGAAAAATAAACCAGTGGCTCGGGAAAAATAAAACATCAGTTGATACCATTATTGAAAGATATATGAAAAATGAAAAATCTATGAAAACAATCTGTAATAAGTTTTGCGAAACGTTTACTGACGAAATTGATAATATTAAAAACAAGTGTAACCAAACATTTAAAAAAAGAAAAGAATACATAGACGAGTGCAACGTGAGCTTTCGATATAAAATGGTATCAGCTGATGATGTGACAAAAGTTATAGACAAATTAAGCTGCAACAAGTCATCGAGGTAAGATCGAATTAGAGTTAAGGATTTAAAATTTATTAAAAAGTCATTAGTCCTATCATAGCGAATTTTATTAATATGTATATTAAAAAAAGTGTTTACCCAAAAGAACTAAAAAAAGCGATAATCAGACCTATCTATAAGCAGGGATCACATCAAGAATACACAAACTATAGACCCATCGCCATACTTAATGTAATCAATAAAAAATTGTTGTCAAACAAATTTCAGAATTTTTGGAAAATAATGGTGTTATTACAGATTTACAATACGGATTTAGGCCAAAAAGAAGCACAGACATGGCTTTAGCTAAATTTACTGACGACGTGAATAACGCTCTTAATGACTAAAACCTAGTAGGTGTTATTTTTATCGATTTTAAAAAGCTTTTGACACACTGGACCACGATGGCTTGTTGCAGTCTATGGAAGAGTGCGGTATTCGAGGACCCACAAACTTATGGTTCCGCAACTATTTAAAGGACAGAACGTTAGAAGTCCGCATTAGCGAAACTAGTAGTCACCTTGGTAAAATCAAATATGGAGTCCCAACCGGCTCAGTATTCGGTCCAGTAGGGTACATCATTCATGTAAATGGAATGAGCAAAGTAGTACGATCATGTGAAATGTATATATATGCCGATGACACTTGCCTAATGTACTCGTACATGCCTAATGTACTCGTACAAAGATCCAAAGATGATACAAATAGCTATGTCAAAAGACTTAGACAACATTGTTAAATGGGCGCATGATAATGGTATTATAATTAATATAAGCAAAACCAAATTTATGTTAATATTTTCAATCATATAAAATATATATAAAATCAATCGACAAAAACATGCCGACATTGTAATTGAAGGACATACCTACGATTGTTTCCACAGAAATAGCAATGTAAATAACTGTAAATGTCTGAAGTTAGAACAAGTCACATGCTACAAATACCTAGGACTAACTATAGATACCAGTTTTGTATGGAGTATACATGTTCAGCAAATCTGTAACAAATTACGTAGTGTGTTGGGTAAATTGTACCACCTGAAATTTAGGCTAAGCAGAAGTATGTTACATATGCTGTACTATGCGCTTGCGGATACAACTATAGATTACGGGTTGGGCAGCTATGGACTTACGTTCCCAGTGTATTTAAATAAAATCAAAGAACTACAAACAAGGTTGTTAAAGATACTAGTAGATAATAAAGTGAAAATTGCGTGTAATAAAGAATATGTTAAACTTTTCAAAATTTGTAAAATTTTACCTGTAGACAAAAAAGTGAAAATAAAGTTAATAATGGAACAAAATAATAAAAATGAGTTTAAAGTAGAAAGAGAATATGGCTACCCAACTCGTCAATCCACTAGAAAAGGAAAATATGTAGTACCTAAAATTAAAAATTACTTCGGTATGCGCACGAGACGATGGGTTATCCCGCAATTACATAACGAGCTGCCGCCAGACTTGCTTAGTAAAGTTATCACAAAAAATCATTTAAAAATATTCTAAGAAAACATTATCTATCATTGTGTCCATAAAGGTACGCCACAGGCCACGAGTAACGTACTGTTAAAATTAGCAGTCTATATGCGATGTGTGCTGTATGAGTATGTGTTGAATTAGTGTATATGTATATATACAACGTGTCCCAAAATTCAACGATAAGCCAACACCGGAGGATAGACCTGCCCCGGACTAATCGGGTAAAAAAAGAAAAAAAAATATATCCCAATTATATTTTAAGTTATATAAAAAAAATGAAATTCTTCAGAAATTGAGACCGTTTATGATATTTTTCACTACCATGACCACAATTTTTTAAATATTTTTTTCTTTTTTTTTTATAGGCAACCTGAATAGTACTGCTATCTACCACAATTCTTAAAAACTCCAGAATAACTCTTGTTTTATCACGAAAATTAATGAAACTTATTTTATTCCCTAAATTTTTTGAAGACTTTTACTTTTAACCAAATTTAACTTATCGTGGTGTAAAAAAAAAGTATGAACACTAGTATGGCAAGTTTTTTTAAAAATTGACGCAACTAACCAATATTCCAAAATGGTATAATACTCTAGGAAAACAAGTTATAAAAAAATATGGGCCTATTATTTCTTAACAGGGGCCAAATGACGGTCGGGTGTAATAAAAGTATTATTTCTTGAAAAATGTTTAATATTTCAAAACAAATGGTACAAACAGTTTCACGTGTAATTTATTAAGTTATTAACATTATAGCAAATGTTCGAACTGTTTGCCACCAGCATTAATACATGCACGACATCGCCTTAAAAATGATCGTTTTATTTGTCTTGCATATCTTCTGCTATTAATGTAATCAGCAGCCTGAGTGATATTTCGACGAAGCTCGTCCAATGTCACAATGGGTTTTGAGTAGACCCTGTTTTTAAGACAACCCCAATAGAAGAAGTCCAGGGGGTTCAAATCGAGTGAACGGGGTGGCCATAAGATAGGACCAAGTCGCCCGATCCAACGCCCTGGATACTCTTGATTTAAATATTCTCGCACAGGACGGGCATAATGTGCTGGGCAACCATCATTTTGGAACCACGTTTTGAAGATCACTTAAGGGCACGTCGTTTAACAATTCTTGCAAGTCATTTTGTAAAAAGTTTAAATAACTATTGCCATCTAAGTTTCCTTGTAACTCAAAGGGCCCAATTACTTTTCCATTTAATATGCCGGTCCATAGGTTAACCTTGAATTGATATTGGGATTTGTCTTGTCTCATCAAGTGTGGATTTTCATTACTCCAACTATGTAGATTGTGAAGATTTAAATACCCATCTTTCTTGCACGTTGTTTCATCCGACCATAGAATTTTGTCTAGGAAGTGGGGATCTTCACTGTGCCTTTGCAGCATTACACGGCAAAATGTGACCCGTAGCGGATAGTCCCGCGGTAATAACGTCTGCACACGCCTGTAGTGATATGGGTGAAGCTTGTGACGTTTTAATATTCGATGTGCAGAACTTTTCGGGATTCCTGTAGCTTCTTCTATGGCACGTACCGAAGTAGTCGAGTCATTTTCTATCTCCTTGAGAACTTCTTCATCACGATCCAATCTAGGTCTTCCAGCGCTGCTCCTATTGGATGGCATACGACCCTCCGAAAACGCTTGATGCACATTAATAAACACTCGGTAATCAGGATATCTTTGAGCATTTGGGTATCTTTCTGGATACAGTCTGCTAGCAGCGTTAGCATTACATCGGCATTCTCCATAGATTAAATGCATATTAGCGTATTCCTGTGGTGTGTACGGTTGCGGCATGTTAAACGCCAAACAGTCCAAAATGCGCCAGAACTCTAAATCACAAAACACACAATCGTAGTCCAAGATAATGCCAGGTCAGTTCAGTTTGCAGATCACTTCCAGTCCAAATAATGCCAGGTCAGTTAAGTTTGCAGGTCGATTCCAGTCCAAAAAGCCAAGCCAAAAGTCGATAGTATGTACGAGGGCCACGTAAGTTGAATTGGGTACGGTGCGCAGTAAACAAAGGAGCAGAGCGTACTGAACCGACTTGCTGAGAATAATAACAGCTTCTCTACCTGCCCTGTTGTTGTCTCTTTTTAACGTAAATATCTCTATCTATCTATCTCTCTCTAACATCTAAGGTATTAATGCCCCATTCGAATTCCTAGAAATTGTAACAGGAACCCATTTTGGGCATGTAGTAAAAGTGATTACTGACAATTACAATTTAAGGAATTTGGCCCCTGTTAAGAAATAATAGGCCCATATTTTTTTATAACTTGTTTTCCTAGAGTATTATACCATTTTGGAATATTGGTTAGTTGCGTCAATTTTTAAAAAAACTTGCCATACTAGTGTTCATACTTTTTTTTTACACCACGATAAGTTAAATTTGGTTAAAAGTAAAAGTCTTCAAAAAATTTAGGGAATAAAATAAGTTTCATTAATTTTCGTGATAAAACAAGAGTTATTCTGGAGTTTTTAAGAATTGTGGTAGATAGCAGTACTATTCAGGTTGCCTATAAAAAAAAAGAAAAAAATATTTAAAAAATTGTGGTCATGGTAGTGAAAAATATCATAAACGGTCTCAATTTCTGAAGAATTTCATTTTTTTTATATAACTTAAAATATAATTGGGATATATTTTTTTTTTCTTTTTTTACCCGATTAGTCCGGGGCAGGTCTATCCTCCGGTGTTGGCTTATCGTTGAATTTTGGGACACGTTGTATATAGTATGTATATAAAAAAAAATCAAAAAGATAATGAACCAATTTTGATATTTGGCTGATGTGGACCTCATAACAAACTTTGTTCTAAATATGTATAAATAAAATAATAAAATAGATGTTGGGAGATATTAGTATATGTATAAGAAATTATACTTCAGATTATATGTATAAACATAAGCATGTAAGACGAGAACTACTGCCGACAAGCTGTAATGCAGTTTGGCAGATGAAAATGTTAAAAACGTTTATTGTAATTGTAATTGTATTGTAATTGGAAAAAAAAAATAAAAAAAAATTGAAGCACCCGTATGCTGTGCAGTACCTTTTGCCTTTTTGAGTGGCCATACTTGAATAAAAACTCAAAAATAAATATCAAAAATGCCTAAATACTTAAAAGAGGAAAATACTTTTTTCGCGTCAGCTCGAGCGTGCGCGTTAACCTCCCTGAAATTAGCCTCTTGTAGGCGGCTGCGCAGCGTAGGTATATTTTCATGCCTAAAATGCGAAGTGAGATAGGCCTGCTTCTGGTAATGAATTTTACATTATCATTATTACTAAAAATACATTTTATTATATTACTAACATGAAACATAACCGAAATACACCACATACACTCTTACACATACATAACACACGTTCTTTTTCTCGTTTAAAACTTTAAAATACTCTTAGAATTTTTTAGTATAACGACGGCCATTTGCAAATTATGTCAAATTTAGTTCCCAGTACACTCAATGACGGCGCTTCAAATCGGCACAAACGTTTGTAGGGTACAGCCAGTCCAGCGTACTAGTATACTATATGGAGGTTACTGGTACGTACGCAATCACCGCTGTTTTCACGTGACAAGCTGCTCGCTTGTTCTACCACTGATGATGTAATATTATTAAATCATTTCATTCAAAGTCAATTATTTCATAAATCAATTGTTTGCCAGAGCACTGGCCAAAAGTTGGCATTTGAAGAAAGAGACATTTTCTCTTATGCAAAACGAAGACATTATTTATTGATATTAAATCATATAAAATATATTATGCGCGGCAATTTTATACGTGGTAGAGGGCCACACTGCAGCTATATAATAGTTGAAGCAAGAATGGGTCGGCTCTCCCGGTGTAGGACCACGCTCTCACAGAATACCAGCGTAAAATAACAGGTTAATGCTGCTTTGTTTCGGAAGGTAGGTGTAAAGAACTGGTAACCCGATTTACTGGAAACGAGGCATTCCTTATTAGTCCTCAGGGGTAACAACGCATCTGTATTTTGATTCTCAGGTGTACTGTGCGTTTGCTTGTCACTATATTCTATAAAAAAAGTAATTACAATCTTCGGTACCATATCATTTTGTTTGCAAATTTCATTACAAGCAATATATAATTACATATTTCAATCACCACACTGATTAAATGACATTTATCTCCAAAAAAAGAAAAATAATTAAGAAGAATTGTTTCACAGAACCACTAGTGAAGATGTTCGGTCTAACGCCCGAGCAGTTCGCGGAGAACGTTCGTGACAATTATCAGCGGCATGAAGTAGAACAGCCACCTGTACCACCGTTGGAAGCTGCTGCTCCGTTCGTGAGTTCTTTTTAATTATCGCTTAAGCTGAACGCACATTTGTCCGCACTGTACGCATCGTACGCGCCGAGTTTTACTGATGGCTTCGCACATTAACACGTACGCACCGTCCGTGCCGTACGCAAATCTTTTGTATTACCAACAATTTTTGTAGTTTTTCCAACCACTTGTGTGAAACGGTATAGTGAAATTGATCGGTCGAAATCACTATGGAAAATAATATAGTAATAGCCTGCTTATTGACAGAGGAAGAAGAAAATAAAATTCGAAGAAAAAGAAGATTCTGGATTCATAATATTAATTTAAAAAGGCAATTGTATGGGGAATATGAAGGGGATATACTTTTTTTAAAGACTTTATTAGATGATGATGAACGGTTTTTTAGATATTTGCATTACAATACAATACAAAAAATTTCAAGAATTACTACATATACAAAAACCATATCTTTCTATGGAAAACTCAAGATTTAGAAAGCCAATTGAACCAGAGAAAAGACTTGTTGTATGTTTGAGGTAGGTATTTTTATTGATAATTAAGTAATCAGGTATCATTGGGTTTTCGAATTAAATTTAACTATGTTATTTAGTTCAGTATTTAAATATTTTATCACTAAGTATTCATATTGATAATCGATGCAAAAAATATTCAAATCACGTATAATTAATTACGAATTAATTAAAAGTTATCAAAATTCAAAAATTATCACGTAAGTCGAAATCACCAATTATAGTGGAAAATTCATTAAGTTGGCAACATTAGACAACACTGAGTATCAGCAAGCTTAACCCTGGCTTAGAAAGATGTTAGCCGTGTAGTGGCGGCGTAAGAGAATATAGGCCATATCCTCCCGTGGGTGTCTTAAGAGTGATAGAGGGAAATGAAACGGTAGAGAGATGGGCAATAAATTGAACATTTCTTAAGCTGTTTCATAATAGCTTCAGGACATGGGCAGCAGCATGTATGTTCCTGATAAGAATTGCAAATAATAAAAAACTGTGGTAGCAAACTCGCCTTTGCCAAATGTCGTAATTATGTTAAATCCCATGTGACAATCTAAGGGGGAGGCCTAATTAAATGAAAAACTTAATCGGGATTTAAGTATGCTATAAAGCATCGAATTATATTAGATTGAAGTTTTTTATAGTCAGCGTTGTGAAAATGTGCTAAATTGTTCTCTATCTGACTGAAACTTTTATAATTTTATTAGTAAAAAAACTAAGGTGATTTTTTTAAATTAATGTTAATTTAATAGTCATAACAGAATACAGAAAATTAATAAAAAGAAATTCAGTGTTATTTTCTCATAGTTTTAAAAATTAAAAATGTCACGTATGTTATGCATGTACGCACGCAAGTTACGTTATAGCAAAGAAAATATACAATACGCGAAAAGAAACGACACTAAGGCCCGGCACATACATACGGAATTCCGTTTCGATATTCCGATTCGAGATTCCGAACGCAGCAAGTTCATATAAAATATATGACCCGTCACACACGTACGGTAGTTTTCCGTTCGAAATTTGCGGGTGAAACGGGATTCCGTGTGTTTAGCCGACCCGCTCGGAATGACTTTTCTGCCACCAGGGCGGCGACACTTTACAGTGAGGTAAAATATTTGACAGATTTCATAGCGGGGACGATAATTTCTTAGGAAAATGTAATATCTAAGGTTTCTTTCTGTATTATTAGTTATATTTTATAGTAATTGCATTAGAAATGAATAAACCAAACTATAAATATAACTAAAAGCAGATTTAAAAAAAAAGAGTTATAAAGTGAAAAAAATTAAAAGTCAAACTACTGACGCATTGTGTCGTGTATTAATATAATACTCTATATAATGAAAAACTATTATTTAAAACTAATTTCTCAATTAACTGACACTATGTAACAAAAAACTTTACCTCAGTCACAACTAGCGACATCTGGTGAGTGGAAGATTATTAGCCCTCATTCCGTATGTATGTGGCCGGCCTTAAGCATGTGTACACGTAAAATCGCTTGCTATGTGTGGGTGTCTGGATGTGTGCGGGGGCCTTGAGAGGCGCGGGGGGCGTGGAACGGGCCGTCGTCAACTGCCCTGGCTGAGGGCTAGTACGTAGTAGTTCGCGTCTCCTCTCTCTAATCTCACGCACCGCACGCAAGCACAGACTGACTGCGCTTTATACAAAAATAATGCCTATTCATTTGTATATAATTTATTTTACCTTTATTTAGTTACAATATTCTACATTTCCTATTTCCCACTCTAACTTACCAATCTTCCTTTTCATACCACCTATCCTTCCCTTTCCCTATTCCTACCCTCTCCGCTAATCCAACGTATGCCGCGCGGATGGGTGCATGACTAGGGGAAAGCCTAGTCATTAGCGTGACACACTGCCCTGGGACCGGGTGACCCCAGAATTAGGCTAGCCTTACCCTGACATGCGGGGCTCTGCTGGAGGGGACAAACCTTTCCCTCGCTATTCGTGGGAACGCAATGGACAATAATAAAAATAATTTAATTAATCAAAATGGCGGCGATGTGGTTCGCCACCCATCACGTCTCGTTTCTCGCGGGGGCGAAAAGCGGCTCACGGAGAGCCGCTTCGCTACGTTGAATGTAAGAGGAGGAATAGATGGTAAGGTAGATGAAGTATGTCAGATGATGGATGAACGATGCATAGATATTCTGTGCGTGAACGAAACCAAGAGGAAAGGATGTGATACCACGGTTCATGGCCCCTACACGGCATACTGGTCGGGAGTCCCCCAAACCAGCCGAAGCTGCCAGGGAGTTTTTTTTATAGGATAAGGTTGTCAAACGAGCTCACAGTCCACCTGGCTCGGCCCCTCGGTGTCGCCACCGTTAAGAGTATTCGGGCTATGGCCAGGAAGTGGTCTGTGTAAAGGCCTACATCGCGGTATGCCCAAGTGTCTAGCACTTTCTTTCTCAGTCTTTCATTCACAATTACAAAATCGATCATACTTCTAGACTCACCCTCATCTCTTGTATACAAATGGATCTTTTTGTGGTCAAACATTGTGTTGTCCACGCACAGATTCCATTCCAAGCATACTTCAAGCAGGCTTCTCCCATTGTCATTCACTCTCTCGTCCTCGCATTCATTCGCTTTACTCCAACCCTGGGTGGTTAAAGTCCCCTAACATCACGATCCGTTCATTTTCTCCGCATTTATTCAAGACCTCTCTTGCTATCTCAAAATTCCTCTCTCTCTTGTTGGGCTTTTAATGACCCACCTCCGTGCAGATCCGTCGGTGCATAGACCCCAAGGATAAACAAGCGAGTGAGTCCGACTTTTAACCTAATCCAGAGGTAGTCTTGGGCTTACACATTCATGCTCCATCACACATTCAACTATACGAGATGAAAGAATCACACCAACTTTCAACTTCACCCTTTTTACTGGAAATGAGGCATTCCATCTTAGTCCTCACGGGTGACAACGGATCTGCATTTTGATTCGTAATCGAGGATAAATGTAGATGTCTATGGGCCACAGCAACCACTTACCATCAGGTGGACTGTGTGCTCGTTTGTCACCCTTATCATATAAAAAAAAAGAAAAGTAAGGGAATGGGATTTACGGATCAAGTCTTTTCCTTGCGTTGCATAACCGAAAAGTGTTTGGCTAAAAACAAGAAGGTCTGTTGCGCGTTCGTGGATCTAGAAAAGGCCTATGATAGAGTGGTGAGGAATGAATTGTGGTCAGCACTGTCCGTGAACGGTGTGAGCAGTATCCTCATACGAGCATTGCAATCTCTTTATAGGGGATTCTAGTGCTTGTGTAAGGATAAACGGGGCATACACTGAATGGTTTATCGAATCGAAATATATCGAAAAAGGTGTTAGACAGGGATGTGTAGCGTCATCGTGGCGGTTTAATCTGTTGATGGACAATTGCTTGACAGATTTAAAAGAGAATGAAAGTGGGTTGAGAATGAATGAGTTACTCGTCAAATGTTTTCTATATGCTGATGACCAAGTACTTCTTGCGTCTTCGGCTGAGGAGTCGCAGGAGATGGTAACTGCTATGAGTGGAGCTTTTGTTAGAAAGGGAATGAAGATGAATGTAAAGAAGACGAAAGTAATGGTGTTTGAAAGAGATGAGGCAGTGACTGACTGCAATATCGTGATTGGAGATGAACAAATTGAACAGGTGAAGGAGTTTGTGTATCTGGGTTCAAAGTTTACGAGAGATGGAAAGTGTGAGAGTGATATCGAAAGAAGAGTGAATGCAGGAAACATGGTGAATGGAGCTTTGCGCTCCTTTATGAGCAGTCGGAAGGTGTCTAACAAGGCTCGTTTGACTGTGCATGAGGGGGTATTGGTTCCGACACTCATGTACGGAAGTGAAAGTTGGATATGGCAAAAGAAACATGAAACTGAGTGACAGGATAAGAAATAGTGAGATAAGGAAACGTTGTGGTCTGAAAGAAGATGTAGTGACAAAAATTGAGAAAGGTATGCTGAGATGGTTTGGCCATGTCGAGAGAATGAATGAAGAACAATTGACGAAAAAGGTGTATAAGGCGAGTGTGAATGAAAGTGTTGGATGGGGTAGACCTAGGCGGACGTTTCTAGATCAAATCAGGGACGTCTTGAAAAAAGGCCTGGTCAAGAGTACCCTAAACCGAAGAGCATGTATGTAGGGAATAATGAAAGTGGACGAAGCGAAACAAGTATGTAAAGATCGTAGCAAGTTGAAAGAAGTGGTCTCTGCCTACCCCTACGGGAAAGAGGCGTGATTATATACTTTCCCGTTCATAAGTAATTAGGCAAAAAACGAAAAAAAGAGCTATTGCGACTAGAATGGTAATTTATAAATATTTTTTTTAGCTATTATAGGATAAGTCTTTTCATTTAATGTGATAACTTTATCGCCATCCCGTATATTTATATTTATATATATTATATATACCATTCTATATTTCTATTTTATGGCTTTAATAAAAATAATGTTATTTTTGTCGCCAAACCACACACGTTTTTATTGTTTTCTTGCAATCCTGTCCATCCAAAGGTTGTCTGGAAGAGATCGCTCTTAGCGATAAGACCACCCCATTGTACCACATTTATTTTTCTCATTTTTTGTAAATATTTATGTTATTTTTTGGCGTACTTTAAAGTGTTATCTATCTATCTATCTATGCTTCCCTAAGGATTTTCTAAAAAAATTTTACATACGGCTACGAATTTTTGCAATTCTTAGAAATAATAACAAAAATTATACAAGTCATCGAAGTAGCCAAAACTATATAAGAGTAAGTAATTTTTAAGGGGTATTAGGTAATACTGATTATTGCTTACTGAAATACTAACTGTCGGGTAATTATTTAAGATTACCATTAACTGTCGTGCATATTTTGTTTTGTCGGAAATTTTAATTTTCTCCATCTGTAAAGATATTTAATAAAAGTTGATTTAAAATTGATCGTATCTTTCACTACCTAAATACATAAGTTTGCATTATATAACATATACCTACTATGTATCTTCTTTGGCACAAGTCCTATAATATTCCATTTCGGTTCGGTATCAATCCTAGCGTTACACGCTCCGGCTTAATGTCACCGGCGCTTGAACTCTCACGTACAGAGAGTGTCACCGCTGTGGTTATAGTGATTTGTCAACCTGTCACCCGGACCATGCTACGAGGGTGGATTGAAAAGTACTCGGCCTAACACAGATCCATTCAATTCTAAAAATCAAATTTACCCACATTATTTAGTTCAGTTCAGACTAGTTCATTGTGTGAAGTTCGAAACGTGTGCGATAATTAGTTGTGATTTTATAAATTTATTAACAAAGTAATCGGACATAATTTCCGCGAATGGAGCAAATCGAGCAGCGTGCCGTCATTAAGTACCTCCATAAGAAGGGGCTATCATCAAAAGCCATCCATGATAACATGGTCAGTACATTAGGCGATTGTGCTCTGTCATATTCATCCGTCAAAAAATGGATAGCAGAATTTAAGCGTGGTAGAGAGAGTGTGAAAGATGAACCCCGCTCTGGAAGGCCTTCGACGTCAACTACTGACGAAAATATTAAAAAAGTACTTGATTTAATAATGGGAGACCGCAGATTAAAAATTAGAGAGATAGCCGAGATTATAGGCATCTCTTATGAACGAACTCAAAACATCATTGTCAACGAGTTGGGTTTTCACAAGGTGTCTGCAAGGTGGGTTCCGCGACTGCTTTCAGTTGAACAAAAAAGGACGCGATTGACTATTTCACGCGACTGTTTGGAGTTATTTGAAGCCGATGCAGATGATTTTTTGAATCGTTTTGTTACTATGGACGAAACATGGGTTCATTACTGTACACCGGAAACAAAACAACAATCAAAACAGTGGAGAAGACCTGGTTCACCACCCCCTAAAAAGGCTAAGTCGATTTTGTCGGCAAATAAGGTGATGGCTTCAGTATTCTGGGACTCGAAAGGTGTGATTATGATTGATTATCTTGAAAGGGGTCAGAATATAAACTCTTATTACTACTGCACCTTAGTACGTCGTTTACGAGAGGAAATAAAAGAAAAACGTCGAGGAATGCTCAGAAGAAAAGTCCTGTTTCATCAAGATAACGCCCGTGTTCACACGTCAGTACAGTCAATGGCTGAAATTCACAACTGTGGGTTTGAACTGTTACCGCATCCGCCGTATTCACCTGATCTGGCACCATCAGACTTCTTTCTGTTCCTTAACCTAAAAAAGCACTTGGGAGGTCAAAGATTTTCGACAAACGACGAGGTCAAAGCAGCTGTAGACGCATATTTTGACTCTAAGGAAGAATCATTTTTTTTCAACGGTCTAAATGCTTGGAAGGGGAGGTGGCAAAAGTGTATTGAACTTGATGGTGATTATGTAGAAAAATAAAAATATAACTGATTTAGTATTTGTTTATTTTCTTGGTTAGGCCGAGTACTTTTCAATCCACCCTCGTATAAAGCATAAACTATAGTTCGTGATGGGTTGATTTTCGTAACTCCATGACTGCATGTAGTGCGTGCATAATAAAACATAAAAAATAACAAATACTTTTATTGTGTATTGGTAAGTTCAGTAACATATGAACGTACAAACGTAAGTATGTGCATTCATACATACATTCTTTTTAAAACATTATGAAACTCAAAATGTGGGGAGAATTTTGTAATATGTTCTTTAAAATATCAGATCTTTGTCAATTTCATTATTGCTTTTCGTTTTACAGCTCTCATTATTTCATTCTGTTGTATCAGTAAATTTAGCGCACATTGTGTAAATTTCTAATAGGGGGTAATATTGTTGGACTTAAGTTTCTGTAATTAACAGCAACATAGAAAAAGCATTAAAGCTTGGGCCAAACTGAGGCGAATCCCGCGCGGGACGCGGGACACGATTCGCTCGCGCCGATTGCGTGAGCTAACTTGTATAGTGGTGTTCACATTGGCGCGAATTGTCGCACGTTCTGCACCGAAATATACGCGGGATAGTGCCTCATTTTTCGAAATGTCGTTGAACCTTGAATTATTTTTACAAATAGTAAAAGAAAACAAGATCCTATACGACCTCGGCCACGAAGACTGTAAAAATAATAGGAAAAAATATAGGGCATGGGAAGTTTTATCAAGAATCGAACAAAATATGTTTCCGTATATTTTGTTCGATTCTTAATAAAACTTCGTTATAGCATTCTTCCGACATACGAAAATATATGTAAAATCTTTTTTTATCTTTTCGTAATGTGTGTATTAAAGTGTGAAACTCCAAATTCCATGCGTTGAGTACTCAGCTCATGAATCCAATTTCTTCTTTTCTTCCTCACATCTTGAGATTCTTCTTCAGTTAATGCTAATAAAAACAAAACCTCAGCTTCAATATCAAAAGACATGTCTTCCTATTGAGAAACCAAAACTAATGACGTGCGGGATTCGCCCTAGTTTGGGAGGCTTAGCGAGCGAGCGAATCGCGGAGATTCGCGCCTTAGTTTGGCCGAAGGTTTACACCGACGTTACGGTTCACTTATGCGTGTTTGTGCGTGCAGCTTTTCAGCGCAGGCTAATCGTGTGACTGCAGAGACGTCGGTTCGAATTCTACTCAAATCAAGTGTATGATATACAAATAATCAGAAAATCTTTAATGTTAAGTGACCATACCGCAGCTCTTACTTTTTATTAAAATTTAATTTTACTGGTTTTCTATACCCTTCAGTTAGTCTAACACAGTAGTGCACGCATGTGCTAGAAATGGTTAAGAGGGATATACTAACCCAGTCGAACTTCTAGGCTGAAAAGGAGCCCTACCACCTAGTGTGGCGTGATATTTAAAAAGAGAAATAGAATTAAGGCGTGTGTGACGTGGTGCAGTGCGGCGCAAGCGGTTCGGCGAGCGAGGTGGTGCGGCGCGCGGTGTACATGTGCGGCGTGCAACTGGCGCGTGAGCCGCTGCTGCGTGGCGCACTGCGCGACGCGCTGCGCGAGCGCGCCACGCTCTCCGTGCGCCCCACGCAGCGCGGCCTCAAGGAGATCGACGAGAGCCACGCCTGCTACAGGTGAGTGTTGCGCTCGGCACCGGGACCACCACCGCGCCCGTGTCTGCAACCGCGCCCGTGCTCGCGTCCGTGCCCGTGCTCGTGCCCGTGCTCGTTTCCGTGATGGCGACTATGCCCATGCTTGCGACCGTGTCTGTGCCTAAAGTGAAAGTAAATGGATTAAACTAAATTTTACTAATTTTATCGCGTTTCATGTAATTTATTTATAATTATATTGATTCTCGACGTTTCTTATCGATGTGCTTTGCAGCACCCATGGTTATGGTGGCGTTGGGGGAGGAGGGGGGAGATTAAAATGTTTGACGTAGCTGTGACATTGGGAAATAAATTAAACGCGATAAAATCCGTAAAATTAGTTTTATTCAACAAAGAACGAAAGAGAAATAATTAACGTGCTCTATGTTAAGCAGCAGGGTAAGATTTTTTGAGATAAAAGATCTATACTGTGATCACAAATCCGTCTGCCGAACTTATCGATTACGGCATTATAACGTGTACAGCTACGCTGCAGTGTATTACAGCTGCAACACGAATGGGACGAGTAAAGCGGGGAAGAACCGGAGACTCTTTTGTCTGGTGACAAGGCATCCTATTTTAGTCTTTAGGGGTAACAACGCATCTGCACTTTGATTCTTAGACGTGTATTATGATTCACAGCATCCACTTACTACGAGGTATTTTTTTTTATACACATAAAAAAAATAAGACCCAGAACAACATAGGACTATTACTGGAAAATTATATTGAATAGAATAGAATAGAATAATTTTTTATTCAATATAGATCACATGTGTAATTCTTATTGAAAGTCATTTTTTTACTTTACCACTGGTTCGAAAAAAAACCCCTGTCCTGGGAAGAACCAGCAAGAAACCCAGCGGGACTTTTTTAAGGCAAATTTTACAATAATGGTTGTACAAACTAATAAGTACAAAATTTATTTTAGAAACAGCTTGGAAGCGATCACCTCATTCCCAGGGGTTATTATCAACCATGTATTCATTTATACTACAATAACCCTTTTTATACAGTTTCAACTTAACAAAACATTTAAACTTGCTAATAGAGAGAGCCTGTACACTTTCCGGGACCTTGTTGTAATAGCGTTATACATTGCCCCAAGAATTAATTACTGACTCTGTGGAGTCGAGAAACTGGTATCACTAGCTTGTGTTTGTTCGTAGTGTTTACAGAATGCACATCACTTTTTTTTACTAAAACTACCTTTGTTTTTGTGAACATACATTAAATTTGCGTAAATATACTGAGAGGCCAAAGTTAATATATTTATTTCTTTAAATTTATCTCTAAGAGACTCTCGGTTTTAGGTTGTAAATAGCTCTAATGGCCTTCTTCTGTAAAACAAAAATTGTTTCTGAATCAGCCGCATTTCCCCATAGCAAAATCCCATAAGACATTATGCTATGGAAATAACTGAAATAAACTAATCTAGCTGTCTCGACACTAGGGAGACCTCTAATCTTTTTTACAGCATAGGCTGCAGAACTTAGTCTGCTTGCTAGTTTGGATATATGGGGGCCCCACTGAAGCTTTGTGTCGAGAGTGATGCCAAGAAAAACAGTGGATTCAACAGGGCTCAGTTCTTCCCCATTTAAACACCCTGTGTTACTCAGATTTTTAACATTCGTTGTTGTAAATTTAATACATTGACTTTTATTTCCGTTTATAATTTGATTTTTTTAAAAAAATTGAATTTTTAGGGTTAGTAATTTTTAACGTGAATTCAACGTAGAATAACCATAATGATTTCTTATATTTACGCGAAGACTACACATTAAATGAAACTAATTTTTACGGATTTTATCACGTTTAATTTAACTTTTTAATTCCCGACGTTTCGGGTGCTTTACAGCACCCATGGTCCCGGGGGTGAGGTGTTTGACGTCCCGATGTCATAGTTAGCCCGGCTACCTTCAGTTTTTCAATATTAATTTTTGGTCCGATCTACCCAGAATGGGCTTATAGTATCTTGAAGTCTTGCAGTGATATGTTTGCGTTTGGATTTAATTTTATTAATTATAGGATCCCAAGCATATGGCAGCACCCATCCATCTTCTTTATTGAAATTAAGATGTTTTTTAATATCAATAGCCTCGCGAATCATCCTTAGTAGAAATCGGTGTTATTTAACGAGGATTTGTGGTCTATCAAATCTAATGTAATGATGGGGAACATCTTGAACATGTTCACACAATGCAGACTTCGCGGAACGTCGGTGCTTCAAGTCAGCTATATGTTCTTTCACCCGGGATTTTATAGATCTTTTTGTTTGTCCTATGTAAGGGAAACTACAATCCAGCTTGTACACTTCTGCGTCTTCTAGAGGGATATGACACTTGATGGATGGTAAAAATTGACTAATCTTCTTCGGCGGCTTGAAGTATGTTTTAATGGAAGCTCGTTTCAAGATGTAGCCAACCTTGTCTGTGACTCCTCTGATATAGGGTAGTACAGCAGGCACACGCTAGACTGTGGCCGGTTTCACTCTGTCACTGTGACGTAGGCGCGGGAACCGAAGCTTTTTGTCTTGCAATACTTGCTCGACGTGCTGAAGCTCGTCGGCCAGATGTTTTCTGTCACAGATCCCTCGTGCTCTCTGAAACAAAGATTTTCCCACGGTAGCTAACTGTGGTGGATGATGGTGCGATTCACCATTTAAATATCGGTTGGTATGGGTCTTTTTCCTATACACAGTGTGATCAATAGTGTTATCAGGACTTCGGATGACTAAAACATCTAGGAAATCTAAAGAATTGTTTACGTCTAACTCCATTGTGAATTGTATTTTAGAGTTTATGGAATTAAGGTGGTCTAAAAATGCAGTTACTTTGTCAGATGGTAAAATTGTGAAAGTATCGTCTTCGTACCGCTTGTAGAATCTTAGATTTACAGGAGCAGTAAGAAGGGCTTTCTCCTCAAAGTCCTCCATGAATATGTCTGCGACTACGGGAGATACAGGCGAGCCCATCGCCACACCATCTACTTTCTTGTAGAACTCTTCCTTCCACAATAGATAGCCAGATGTGAGGCGGTGTTTGAGTAATACTGTACTCGTATATTCTCTAGACATGTTGTTATCTTCTAGCTTTCTAGTTAAAAATGAGATGCAGTCTTCAATAGGTAAGCATGTGAATTGTGACTGAACATCAAAACCGACCATAGTTTCATTGTCAGCGAGATGTAGGTCTTTTATCTCACTAACAAAATGGTAGGAATCCTTTGTGTGTGCTCTGGTGTGTCCTCTCAGTGGTGACAATATTTTTGCCAAGAGTTGAGCCAACTTAAAAGTTGGTGAATCGATCTGGCTTACTATGGACGCTCCACTGCGTTTGGTTTGTGTATTTTCGGTAACCCATATAACCTCGGTGGTTTGGCACATGATGGTATTGTCGAATTCACGCCGAGATTTAATTTTTCGGAGTGTTTCTTTATCAATTCGGTAGTTGTTTTAAGTGTATTAGTTGCAGGGTCTATTTTGACCTTTTTGTATGTGCTTACGTCCGATAGAAGTTGTTGTATTTTGAAATTATACTCTGAGGTGTCCATTATTACCGTAGCATTTCCTTTACCCGCGCAAAAATTAATATTCAAAAACTGAAGGTAGCCGGGATAAGTATGGCATCGGGACGTCAAACACTTCGGTCCCCTCGTGACCATGGGTACTGTAAACACCCGAAACGTCGAGTTAAAAAGTTAAATTAAACAAGATAAAATCCGTAAAAATTAGTTTTATTTAATTAGTAGAATAACCAATCAACCAAGAATCAAAATAGAAAACATTCAGTATACCAAATTTTTATTTTTTCATTCAGTATACCAATTTTGACTTTTCTTCACTCGCGTCATGTTCATTTTATTATCCATTTGGACAGCATGAAGTATCTTAAAAAGAAACCAGTGCGTGACCTGACTGGTGACCAATTCCTGAAGCTGACCATGGCTGCGGAGGACCGACTTATAGAACTGAGCATCAGTGAGCAAATCGAAGGCAACACAAGTTCGAGCTATTTGGAAGAGCTCAAACAGCTTTATCAGAAGGTAAATAAAATGGTTTTATTATGAAGTTTGCCTCACAATACACCTATTTTCATAAACGGTCTATCACTACTCACTTATTAATACCATCCATCCTAAATAATTTACTTTCATGTTTTATCGCATCTATAACAAACAGAACTTGGTGTCATAGTAAGTAGCAGCGGGAAGAAAATTCTCCCGCGTGAATACAGCTTCACGGACAACTAATGTTATGAAATCACTAGCTGTTCTCCGTGACTTCTTTTTCTTTTTCTAAAATGAAAGGAATCTAAGTTACTTCTTATAACCTCAGCTATGTGCCAGTGAAAGTCCCGTCAAAATCGGTCGAGCCATTTCGGAGATTAGCTGAAACAAACAGACAGACAGACAGACAAACATTTTAAAAATTGTTGTTTTGTTATAAGTACTGTATAAACTTTCATATGTATTCCGTATATTTTGACATTACAAATAGACATTTCAATTTTATTTATATGTATATATTGTGATATTTCAAAAGATTGTATATTTGCGTACGATATTCAAACATTATCTAATATCGTATTAGGGTCAACAAATAAATATAATTACGAATTAAATGTTGCATACAAGACGGAGGCATATTATTAAATCAGTCACGACTCGTCTGGGTATCTTGCACAATACTCATATCGTTTTTGTACCTTGTTACGTATTTTTATATCGTTACATTGCTCTCAATTTCACATACATAAGTAAAAAACATACCAAAGACTCTGTGGCTGGTAAATATTATTATCTAATTAATTTCACATCAGATTCTTTAATTTAAACGAAGAAATAAAGGCACGCAATTTCCATTGACTTCTTTTAAATAATAAATTATTAATATCAGAGATTTAATTATAATTGTATTTAGTTATTGTTTTATTTATCCTATCAAAACAATTCAGTTAAATCAAAATCTAAAGGTTGAGAGGGCGTATCTCTGTTTAGAAGTTTTAAATGAAAAACAGTTAACAATTGTCATTCCAATGTAACGTAGTAATGTTAGTATTGTACGTGAACAGGACGAGTTCGCGGCGACGGTGCAGGCGTGGAACGAGCTGCGCGCGGAGGCGGTGAGCCTCGCGCTCACCAAGATCGTGATGCCCGAGCTGCGCCGCGAGCTGCACGCCGTGCTGCTGCAGGAGGCCAAGGACTACGTGCTCAAGTCAGTGCACGCATCTATGCACATGCAGCCTAGTCTGACGACTAATTTATTCACAAAAAAACAAGTACCTGTTCAATATTGTTCATGTTTTTTTTATTATACCAGGTGTTGCCGCCGACGTCTGTATGACTGGCTGAAGGTGGCGCCTTATGAGTCAAGAGTGTCTGACGATGATGATGAAGAATGGGATACAAACAATGGTAAGAAATGTGACAAGTTACACATTTAACTAAAACTAGTTTTACTGATTTTATCGTGTATATTAACTTATTTTATATTCCCGACGTTTCGAGCACTTTACAGCACCTATGGTCACGGGGAGGACTGAGGTGTTTGACTTCCCAATGTCATAGTTAACCACGGCTATTTCCAGATTAAAATTATTAATTTTTGTTCCGATCTAAGCACTATGAATACCTAACTGATGGTAAAAACTGACTAATCTTCTGCGGCGGCTTGAAGTATGTTTTAATGGAAGTGTAATGTCATTCTGCAAGATGCAGGAGTGTACAAGCTTGATTGTGAATGTGATCTCTCTTACATAGGACAAACTAAAAGATCAATAAAAACCGGCATTGAAGAACACATAGCTGATGTGAAGAATCGACGCTCTGGGAAGTTTGCAGTATGTGAACACGTACAGGATCGCCCTCCGCACTACATTAGATTGAATAGACCACAAATCCTCACTAAAGAACACCGATTCCTTCCAAGGATTATTCGCCAGGCTATTGAAATCAAAAAACATCTTAATTTCAATAGAGAAGATGGCTGGGTGCTACCATCTGCTTGGGATCCTTTAATTAATAAAATTAAATCCCAACCCAAAAGTATACTGCAAGACTTCAAGATACTGTAAGTTCATACTGCATAGATCGGAACAAAAATGTATAATTTTAATCTGGAGGTAGCCGTGGTTAACTATGACATTGGGACATCAAACACCTCAGTTCCCCCGTGACTATGGTTGCTGTAAAGTGCTCGAAACGTCGGAAATATAAAATAAGTTAATATACGCGATAAAATCCGTAAAAAATAGTTTTATTTAAATACTTAAAAATATTTGACGAGCAAGATGTATGTATGAATAGATATAATATGGACGTGATAGAAGCGGGAGAAGAATGAATTACTGACTGGAGTCGGTATTATTTGCTTGTGTTGATCACATTTTTATTTTTGTGTATATTATATTTTCTATGAGGCCAATTTCCACTTGCTAATTTTGCTTATGAGCCGTGATCGGCTGTTCTTTTAAAAGAATAGGCAAAAGAGAGCCACTCACCACCATGTGAGGAGTATCCTCACATGAGCTTTACTGAAATCGGGTAAGCTAAGATACGGGAGACTGTCTTTGTCTCTTTGCGTTTGTCTTGTGCAAGCTAGCAATTAGCTTCCGATTCGGAAAGTTATCACCGTGGTCGACAGTTGCTGCCGTCCGGGTTTGCTAGGGCCATAAACACCACCTCCATTTTAGAAGTATCTTAAAAATTGTAAGATTGATAGCTCTCGTAGTTTTTGTATATTATTATCTAACAGCTCTCTCCTTCTCAACTCTCATTCATCTCTACCTCTAACAAGTGCGTTTGTGCCGATTATTTCTATTTTTATCCGACTTCAAACAAAGGAAGAAATAAACAATTTTGCAGTTTTGTTTGTATGTATGTTATGCTTCGATATGCTTGCTATCGATAGCTTCGTTAGTTGTGAAATAAACAGGTTTTATTTAAAATCAAATGTTTAAATGTTAAATCTTCTCGGATGGTCCCATAGAAATTAGGCGCAAAAGACTCATTCATTTGGGTTTCTTTTCAAGGAAGAAATTAGTTAGACGACATTAACCTTGTGACATGAAACGGAAATAATTAATATATGTGTAATAGAATGTGAAAGTGGACTTTTACTTTTTGTTTAAAAGTAATGTTTTTCCGAACTTTAAATTCTAAGTTGTCCGTTATATTTTAATTAAAAGTATTCAAAACTAGCTAGATCAGTTCAAGAGTTTTTATGGTGTCGTTAAAAAAGGTGAGGTGGGGGTTGAGCGTCAGTCTCGAAATGCCGGCCCCTAAAACTGCCGCTGGAGGAATGGCACCCCCTTGCTAGGTCTGTTTTGGTAGTAGTGGTGACCAGGAGCTCTCCAGCTGTGGTGTTGTACGTGGCGGTGTGGTTGCAGGGCTGCGCGTGCTGTCGATCGCGTACGTGCCGGACCGGCAGCACTCGGCGTTCGCGTGCCTGGTGGCGGGCGGCGGCGAGGTGGCCGACCACCTGCGCCTGCCGCACCTGCTGTACCGCCGCAACGCCTGGGACGCCGCCGAGCGCCAGAACAAGGAGGCCGACATGACGGCCATCAGGAGGTAACGCTCCTATTGCTTCCGTTTTTATGGAGTAGGAGTGACAAACAGGCACACAGTCCACCAGATGGTAAGTGCATTCTTTGACACATAAATACCTTCATTTCGAATTTAGCATCAAAGTGCAAATGCATGGTCACCCTTCTGGACACAGATTAATGCCTTGCTATAAGTAAAAAGTATACACAGTAGAGATAAAGCGTATATACTAGGACAAATCTAGGCACTTGGTATTAAGCGAGACTAGGTTGCACCTGTTCCAACTTGTACTTGTACTTGATCCACCTAGTCTTACTGTGCCTACGCAGTAACGGCACCGGCGCGGCGGCCCGCTCCAATCGAAGAAGTACCGGCACGGCAAAGCGAGATAGCATTTTTTTGTTGTAGTTACTAGTCTGCTTTGCCGCTCATTCGTGTTTGCCTAAATCATTCGTGTGTCAGTCATTTGAATTTGAACTATATTTCAATGTACATATATAAAAGTAACACGACGCGCACTCGTGTTGTGCAAGAATATATTCTGTCCCTTTTTAACTACACTATTCCGCGGTCTTTCTATCTTTGTCTGTCAATACTCGAAACTACTTGGAACTAGTCCCAGGGACTTCAAACCAAATACTAGGCAGATTTTATACACTAGGTACTTGTAGATACTTGATGCGAATAGAGACCAATATGATGCAGTCAAGTGTCTAGTACAGACTCATACGAATGTGATCTCGGCACCGTATTGAATGACACTTACTCGACTTATCTAGCAATAGGTTTTCGTAACGAAGTTTTGATAAGTGGTTAAGGAACTTTCGATTTATTTTTTATTTAGACATTAAAGTGTTTGTTGTTTAAAAAAGTTGCAACAGTGTCACTTGGGACTATTTTACGGACAAAAGCCAAGAAATGGCTGAGTGTAACATTTGTTAAATATAACTTAGTTTTAAAAACTCTTAAGACTGATTTTTTTGCGCGTAAATAAAAAAAAACAAAAATAATAAAAATATACAAAAAAAGACAAAAATCGGATTACTCTTATATAAAAATTGATACAAATCTTTTAAATATGTCAACAATCTAGAATGTAGATAAATCTTAATGTTGATAGTCCGAAACCTGTGTAAAAATAGTATAAATGAATGGTTGATTACTACGTATCGGCTGTACGTGACGATTAAGCATACTTTAAAGTATAAGCTATTCCAACAATACTAAACTTTATGCATACTTCATGGACTAGGTGGAACTGGTATTTGGATCGAGTATTTGTACGGAATCGGACTAAGTGCACATACTACATAATTTACCTAGTACGACTCATCTCTAATACAGAGCAGATATTCAGAGAGCTGTTAAAAATACTACCTGGACATTGGCAACTGTATCACGTTCATTAATTACAACCTATTTAAGGCCATTTCTGGATATAGACCTCCTTCATGGATTGTCTTATTGGGTTGTTATTGGTTTGGCAGACGTTTAAGGTTATCTAGAAGGTGTTCTTGCCCATCTCCTGTTTTATTTCCTTCTGTCGCCTCTTACGACACCCAAAGATGATATGCGTAAATACTAAATATCCGTTACATGTCACAAAGTTAGCCTTAATGAAACCTAATATTCTTCCGCTCACCAGATGTCGCTAGTTGACACTGAGGTAAAGTTTTTTGCTACACAATGTCATTTAATTAAGAAATTAGTTTTAAATAAAAGTTTATCAGTTTCTAGACTAATGAATTAATACACAAAACAATGCCTCAGTAGCTTGCTCTTTAATTTTTTCCACATTTTTAACTATAGTTTTTTTTTATTTTCTTTTTATCTATATAAATATCTATGGTTTAGTTTATTTATTTTTAATATAATTAATATAAATTATTACTAATAGTAAAGAAAGAAACATTTTCCGAACAAATAAACTTCCCCGCTATGAAATCTGTCAAATATTATATACCTCATATTTAAGTGGTGCCACGCCGCCCTGGTGGCAAAAAAAGTCGTGGAGTGGAGTGGATTGAATTAAAAATGAATCTACAATTTGCAGATAGCTCCTTTTTTGTCCTGAAAGCTGTCCTGTAAAGGTTCCACATTTTGATCAAAGTAATCAAGCTAACAGTTGATAAGCTGACTATATAAAATATACGTACTACCCCTTTTAGGTTTATCCTGCGTAAGAAACCACACGTGGTGGTAATAGGCGGCGAGTCCCGTGAGGCGTTGAACATTAAAGCGGATATAGGTGACTGCATCCAAAGGCTGGTGGAGGACGAACAGTTTCCTCGGATACCTATCGAAATTGCCGACAACAACATCAGCAAGATCTACAGCAATAGTATACGAGGGCGGGTAAGTTTTCATCATGAGGTTTCTTAAAAAGAGTATCTTGAAATAAAACATATTTCATAATTTTCCAGCTCATTTCGTTTGATAGTAATGGTCGATTGGTGTTTTTTTCTTTATAGAATAAGGGTGACAAACGAGCACACAGTCCACCTGATGGTAATTGGTTGCTTGTGGCCCATAGACATCTACATCTATCTTCGTTTGCGAATTGAAATGCAGATGAGTTGTCAACCGTGAGGACTAAGATTGACTGCCTCTTTTCCAGTAAAAAGGGTCTCCGGTTCTCTACACTCACCATACGAAACACAGCAGCATTAAGCTGCTATTTTTCTTTACTCGTCGCCACTGTGAAGGCCCTGATCGACCGGTTAACCATAAGCTTACGGTAAAGATTAGAGCAATTTTATCCGCGGCTCGTCGGTTCTGATTCACTGGCAAGTTAAGCTTCTTTAGAGTTTGTTGAAGCAACGAGCCAAATTTCATAAATTTGACAAAAATATGCAACCCTGGCGAATTGAAGTCCTGGCTCGTTGACTAACACAACCGCGGCTTTGCAACAAACCAGCACGAGTTTTACTGGCGAGGCACCAACACCACAGTAAAGCCAACCAGTCGATCAGGACCTTAAGTTTTAGTGTAAAACATTTGATATAAACTCATTACGACCTAACTTTCTACGAAAGTAAACAATGTTTTTTTTTTATTTAGAAATTTTTACTTTAAAGATAAAGTGATTCTGTCAATTCCCATGTTTGTTTCTTACGACGCCCACAGGACGAAATGGTGTAATGGATTATTTTACACCACCATTAGACCCGTCACACGTACGGTAGTTTTCCGTTCGAAATTTTGCTGGCAAAACGGGATTCCGTATGTATGTGGCGGGCCCTATACGGCAATACCCAAACATACGATACCATCTCGTATATGTCAGATTTAAAATACCAGCGACTGGGAGTATGGTTGAAGGCCCCACATATCTCATATTGTGATCGCCAGTCCGCCTCACAAATATGGCGGTTGGGCAATGAGGCCCATGTCCAGGGTACCGTTAGGGGCCAGTAAAAAATAGAAGAATGTAAAATGCGTAAAAGCGTCAATAGCTTAATGGCAGGGTGCGGATCGAGAACTCGAAAGGTTGTGGGTTCGTATCCGCCATTAGACTACTGTCGTGAACCATTTCTAACACAACCATTTTAAGCTTACAAGAAGTGGTTAAAGGGAATATTAGTAGTGTTTAATAGCATTACTAGTATTTAGAAAAATATGCTTTATATATGCCTTTATATAGATCTCCACACTGGTCTACTTATAATATATAATATATTATTTTAATCCTACAATTTGTTATTTTTAAGATTTTTTTTTCATTACAAAGTATTTATAAAGTAAGAGTGGCTTAATATAGTATGCGTACAAAGAGACATTGGATCGAAACCGAATTTAATTTCTCCACAGTTTATTAATTTTATTTTGGCAGAATGACTTCAGAGAATATCCAGAAATGTTGCGTCAAGCAATATGTCAGGCTCGACTGCTACAAGATCCTCTAATGGAAATATCACAGCTATGCGGACCCGACGAAGAAATTCTGTGCCTCAGATATCATCCGTTACAAGATCAGATAAGCAAGGAAGATTTGCTCGATGGAATCGAACTCGAGTTCGTGAATCGAGTGAACGAAGTTGGTGTAGATGTTAACGAAGCTATATTGACCGGTCGCGGAACTGAACTGCTTCAGTTCATCTGCGGTTTAGGCCCGAGAAAGGCTCAAGCATTAATAAAACTTTTCAAACAAACTAATCAAAAGCTAGAGAATAGAACTCAACTTGTAACAGTATGTCATATGGGGCCTAAAGTGTTTATAAATTGTTCGGGATTCATTAAAATAGATACAAGCAGCCTTGGAGATAGTACGGAAGCGTATATTGAAGTTCTTGACGGGTCCAGAGTCCACCCTGAAACCTATGAATGGGCCCGCAAAATGGCAGTCGACGCTTTGGAATACGAGGATGAAGATGCCAACCCTGCGGGTGCTTTAGAAGAAATTTTAGAGGCTCCTGAAAGACTGAAGGATTTAGATTTAGATGCTTTCGCCGAGGAATTAGAGCGGCAAGGTTTTGGTAATAAAAGTATTACATTGTATGATATTAGAGCAGAATTGAACTCTAGATATAAAGACCTTAGAGTTCCATATCGATCGCCAACTGCTGAGGAGTTGTTTGATATTTTGACAAAAGAATCTCCAGAAACCTTCTACGTGGGGAAGATGGTCTTGGCATCGGTTGTCGGCATTACACATAGAAAGCCGCAGAGGGAGATGTTGGATCAGGCGAATCCCGTGAGAAATGATGAGACCGGGTTATGGGAATGTCCCTTCTGTCATAAAAATGATTTTCCTGAGTTATCTGAGGTAAGAGTTTTATTGAAGAAAATGTAGTTTATGTTGCTTGGAAAACTATTTACTTTATTCGGAAATATGGGCTACGTATTGCCCACTCAATAAGTTTTGAGATATACAAAATGTATTCTAGATACTATTAATATTTATTTTACATCTTTTCAAAATATTGTCCATCGTGCTCTATACAAAGTTCCACTCGCCTAAAATCACAAGGAGCTAAATCAGGGCTGTAAGGTGGGTGACTTAGAGTTTCAACACCAGATTCCTCAATAAATGCTTTTGTTTTAAGAAGGGTATGTGAAGAGTCGTTGTCGTGTTCTCTCCCGCACAGCTTGAAAAGCTTTGGGTAATGCAACTGTAGTATACCATTCAGAGTTGACTGGTCTACAATTTTCCGGCATTAACGTCGACAAATGTCCGCTCCACGAAAAAAAACTAGCCACCATTTTTTTGCCGACGTTGCGAGGTCTTTGCAGTTTTGTCTGTAACTGCCCTTCTGAGTAGAGCCATACCGATGATTGCCTTTTATTTTCCGGATCATATTGATAGATCCATGTCTCGTCACCAGTAACGATTTTTGAAACACGCCTAGACGCCCTGTTTTTAAAACGTAGACGCATTTCATGGCACCAATCCACACGAGTCTGTTTTTCGCTTTTGGAGTGCAAGCGAGGGATCTGTAGCCAGTGTAAGGAAAAGGGGAGATCTCCCGCCGGGCAAGGTGTTCTGCCCGGGGAGCGGCCAACGCTCCGAGTGGTAGTTCGAAGCTATTCTATATATATTGCTTTAATTTCGGAACTTTGTTAGCGCGATTTAGGCTTCGATGTGTTTCGCTTTTGGCGCGACGACAGCGCCACCACAGATCCATCGACAACAAAGCTTTCTCACTCCAAGATGTTGATGTAGGATGGTATGAATGCTCCCCGAACTAATGCCTACAATATTTTCGATGTCCGTATATGTGATTCGTGGGTCTTCTCGCATCAACATTTCAGTAGTCCATACATTTTCTGTCGTTACTGCTGTTTGCGGGGCCCCGGTTCTTTGGTCATCTTTAAGATTAATTTTACCCCTTTTGAATTCAGCAAACCACCTAAAATTTTTGCGCGTGATGGAGCTGAGTCCCCTAATACTGATTGTAACCGTTGTAAACTTAATTGTTCGGTTAAACCAAACTTAAAATCATAATATATCGTAGCGCGCAAATGTTCACGGTTAAGATCCATCGTTTTAAATGAAAAGTGCGGTAAGCGTTGCAGAAAAATTAATAGAACTATGTTTTGTTTTCTTTTAATATTGAGCAATTGGCTTATGGAGATCTATTTTTAAATAAATTTGCTTTTTAGAAACATATAACACGGGTGCGTTTCATTCTTAAATTAGGAGCATCTCAAAACTTATTGAGTGACCTACGTAGATCCATTATATGTATTTATTTGTGATAGAGACATACTGCAGCTGTATTATAGTTGTAGCACGAATGGGTTGCCTCAACCGGGGAATAACTACACTCTCACAGAACCAGCTTCAAATAGCAGCTTATTGCTACTGTGTTTCGAACGGCGAGTACAGAGAACCGCTGACTGTCATTGATGAAAAATCAAAATGTTGACGCGTAGTTCCGAGGACCTTGATAAAACCTCGTTCCTCACAGGTCTACTGCTAAACATAGTATTCCTTCAAGGAATGCCACAAAACGCGGTCCTGAGCACCCATCGGCTTCGAGCACGTTATGCCAGGTCGTTATTCCATCAAGTGGGCGGTCGCCATACGCTCCGTTTACCGCTATAAGGCTGCCGCTCGGGAACTTTTTTACCCCATCGGTTGGTCCTTCGAGCTAATGCCACTTTAGCTTGCTTACCCTTTGGGCTCTGTCGGTAATTCTGGTTCTACTGCATCTTCATAATACACAGAGAAACTCTCAGCATAGCCCTCAGCATAATTCACTGAGCCACCTTAAGCCTCCTTACATAACCAGCACTGAACTGAAGGACTATGTCTCAGTTCCATACGTCGTCACTTTTCCTTAATCATTTTGTGGAATATGTTACGATAATCATACATTACCCTATCAGTTAACTGTTTTTCTAGGTATGGAATCATTTCGATGCTGGTGCGTGTCCGGGTCAAGCGACTGGTGTCCGTATACGACTGGATAACGGCGTGTCCGGGTACATTCACATAAAGAACTTATCGGACCGGCACGTTACTGATCCGACGGAACGCGTCCGGATCGGACAGACCGTCCACTGTCGAGTACTGAAGATAGATGTTGAACGTTTTTCTGTCGATTGCACTTCGAAATCATCAGATCTATTGGACAAAAATAATGAATGGAAGTAAGTTAAATTTTTAACCTTCCGTGTGGTTGCGCCACCGCATACGTTTTGTATTTCGTTAGTTAAGTCGGTATTAGTTAATGTTTGGCTGGCAAAACTTCCTTCTCCCACCTTCTTTTCCTAGCAGATACAGAGAGTGAATTGGATCGCTGCGTCGGGCGTACGTACGACGGTATAGTCGTCGACGCAAACCGCAAGAAAAAATGTGTTGTCTTAAAAGTTATTTAATCGCTGGAAGTTTGTTTTGGTGCATACGACTTTATATGGAAGAGTTCAAGTATCATCATAATTCATCGCGCGCCCAGCAGCAGTCGATAAAAAATGTCCATAGAAACTGATGGTCATTCTAATTAGTAGTCTTTAAGTATGACCTTTTGGAAATGTAAACAAAATCCACTTTCCATATATATTACTTATTGCCATTATGATAACTATGTCTGCTACTGTTGTGTGCCAATATAAAAGTTATGGTGAGATATTATAAATAAACTTTGTAGGAAGTGATTTAACGAATTAAGGAGTTAATTTATTGTGCAGTAAATGGTGGTTAGCCTCTTTTAACCGACTTCAAAAAAGGAGGAGGAACTCAATTTGACTGTTTTTTTTATGTGTGACAAACTTTCTTCTCACTTCTTCAGAACTAGTTTAACCGATTTTGATGATTTTTATTTGAAAGCTGGGGCTTCTCTTGTGGATCCATATAAATTTGATTAAGATCTGACCGGTAGTTTTTAAGTTATCCGTAATAATGCGTATTTAATTGACTTAGACTACATTGATGATGTTCTCATTTTATTTTTATTGAAGACGGTTGCACAAAATTTTTATTTCACCACTTGTTACATCAGGCTCAAACATGAAACAAAATTTCTTTATAGTTGATTATGTGTCTATAGAGGTTCCATTTTTCAATGCAGTTTATGTTCAATGAAATTCGTAGTTGTTTTTTTTTAATTTATAATTTTTATTCTAGACCACCGAAAGACCCATACTACGACCAAGAATCTGAGGATAAGGATCTTCGCAAGGAGACAGAAGCCAAACAAACAAAAGAGCGTATGCAGTATGTTAAGCGGGTGATTGTACATCCGGCCTTCCAAAACATTTCTTTTGCCGAGGCGGAGAAGCTTATGGAGAATATGGCGCAAGGAGAAGTTATTGTACGGCCTAGCAGTAAGGTAAGGTCAAAATTATTTTAAGTCTTGCGATTTTGGATTCCAGATTCATTCGTAACAATATATTAAAAACGCGATCGATATGGAAGTATATAAATATTAAAGTGATCTAAGTTTAGTGTAAACTTGATGATCTAAGTTTAGTATAAATATAGATTAGATTATATATTACATACTCCACAGATACATTTAAATTTTTATTTATTTAAATTAAAGCTTATATTAGCCGTGTGCACAGATACTATTAATATATATATATATATATATATATATATATATATATATATATATATATATATATATATATATATATATATATATATATATATTATTTATTTAAATATATCTTATTAGATATATTTAAATAAATAACAATTGAACGGACTGATGAAGATAAAATAGACCTGAATCGTGTGTGATATTCACCCGTGTGTTATTAAGTTTTTGTGTTAACAGTATGCATAAGCAAATAATGTCTTGTGAAACGATTTAATATTTTGAATTAACCGGAAAACATTTTGTTGACAGGGTTCTGATCATTTAACAGTCACATGGAAAGTGGCTGATGGTATTTATCAACACATCGACGTAAGGGAGGAAGGAAAGGAGAATGCTTTCTCATTAGGTATGTTTTATAGTGTAATTAAAGAGTAAAAACAAAATAGGTAGTTATTTTAAATATCATTGCTGTATGTTTAATTTCCGTAATTTTTTTTCCTTAGGTCGAAGTTTATGGATACAGGGTTCGGAGTTCGAAGACTTGGACGAAATTATCGCCCGATACGTCACTCCTATGGCGGGACACGCGCGTGATCTCATCGCCTATAAATATTACAAACCGCTCGGCGGCATGAGAGATAAGGCTGAAGAGTGGCTCAAAGAAGAAAAGTCGAAAAATCCCAACAAAATACACTACGTAATTTCCGCCGCCAAAAACCACCCGGGAAGGTTCCTGCTCTCTTACTTACCACGATTGAGGTGTACTCACGAGTTCATATCGGTGACACCAGACGGTTACAAGTTCAGACAGAGAATGTTCGACTCGTTAGGCGGATTATTAAAATGGTTTAAGGAGCACTTCAGAGATCCGCCGCCGTCGGGTACGCCGGCACAACGCACGCCAGGTCTGCGCACGCCGCACGGCGGCATGACGTCCGCGATGTACCACACGCCGGCGGCACACACTCCCGCCTTCCACACGCCGGCGCACACGCCGGGCCCGGCCTACATCAACACCCCATACACGCCCTCCGCACAGACGCCATACATGACACCATTCGCGACGACCCCGCGCCAGCCGGACTTCCTGACGCCCGCGGTGCCGCGACACAAGCCCGTGCAGATGCCGATGTACGCGGAGCCGTCCGATTGGCAAAAGGCGGCCGAGGATTGGGTGCGGCATCGGACGATCCGCGACTCTCCGGCGACCCCGCGCAGCAGCGAAGGGATGTCGACTCCGCGCCACGAGTCCCGCACGCCGCGCCACGAGTCCCGGACGCCGCGGCACGAGTCCCGCACGCCGCGTCACGAGTCCCGGACCCCGCGTCACGAGTCCCGGACGCCGCACAGCACGCCGCACGGGCACAGTTCGGGCCGCTCGTCGCGCTCGCATTCCGTCCGCTCCACGCCCCACACGAATACATCGCCGCGATCTATGTCGCTCGGTGACGCGACACCGCTCTACGACGAGAATTAAATTTAAGACTGATCGACTCGGTTTTTCAATTTTGCCTATCCACATTAGGGAGGTAGGTTTGCCTTGCGGAGTAGCAATACATTTGTGTTTAAATACCCCGGAGACGCTTTGTTATATCACCGATAATAGAAGCGCAAACGTCTATACACGGGACGCACCTATTTATATTACAAACGTTTTTGTTTGTATTTTACAGAAAATAAAACATTTTATTGAAATAGAATGAAAATAACCATTACTACTTGAATATTCAATGTAATATTATGCAAACATAAATATGACCTAAAAGTGGCAATTTTAAGATATATCTCTTATATTGCGAGAGCTAACTACGTTGACCTTGAAGTAACATTGAGCTTGATACGCGATTGATTGTGTATCGATTTTTTTACTCAGATGTACATTTTGTATTAGCCCTTTAAAGTCCCAAATTGGTATCAACCTTTGTTTAAAACTATACAGGGTAGTCCATCACCGAAATGGTCCTATCATCAACTAGCGACATTAAACGTAATTTTAAATTCAATTAAGTGATGATTAAGTGCTGTTTTTGATTTTTGCAAGAAACATCACCATCCATAATCATTATTATCATTATTAGCCCACCTAAGTCCACTGCTGAACATTGTTGTCTTTCCCATACATAGTCACAAAACACGGTCCAAAGCCACCTGCGTCGATCGACTCCATTTTTTTCATTCATAACATTTAGTTAGGGGTTTCGCCTATGACTGCGCTAATTAGCACGAGGTTGCTATTCAAGAATCTTTGTTCTCCATCGGGAGTCAGTGAGCAATATTAGATAATATTACGGCTGAATATATGCTGAAATATAGAGCTGTCAGTTATCTTTTTTCTGCTTCTTATATCCTTGTAGATTTTATTACGAAGAGACACTCCAAGTATAGGTCTCACCATAGCTCGCTTAGTTTAATTTCCTATGTTCTTATTATACTTTAAATATATAAAAATATCTACTACATCTATAACTTTAAAAGAGTGTAATTTTTTCTTCTGTACGGATGCCTTGCTATAAATGATAAATGTCTGAATTCTCCTACATTTACTTGTTCGGTTCACTTAGATAGAGAATTACACAATTATTATTATGTAATTCTTTATCTTATATTTCGACATGAAACGTCTACTTATAATAAAATTTTATCGTTTTAACGTAATGACTCCGATATTCATTGTTGGTGACGGACTGTCTTGGTATAGTTACTCTAATATGCATCATTTTTTTGTTTTAGAGTAGAATCAAAATATGAATTTATAGATAAATGAAGGCTATATTAACACCTTATACCTGTATAATGTAATCCAATTAATCTTGTTACCATCAAACTTTCGATATTATAAAATATTTGTCCACCCCTAAATGAAATGTATATTTTAGGTATAAGACATTCAGTCTAATGATAAGCGAATTTTGTCCGTGATCATAAAATTGACTAATATTTATAAATATTGCGGCGAGCATTTAGTGTACCTAAGGTATTGTTATGATAATTTTGTCAGTTTGTATTACTTGCTGAAGTTTTAAACACGCGTTGACTCTTCGTTAATGTCGACTATTATTTATGCTTTGACATTTGTCATGCAGACTGGTCACACCTACATTATAATTTATTCGATGCATTTCATTTGCGGGAAACAACTATAATAAAATTATGACAACTATTTATTAATGTTTTTCATTTTAATTCCTATAATTCTGATACATAAACGTCTTGGAACACGTTAACTTTGATATCGTATATAGATAATTGTACAAAGTCAATTTTTAGTTTTCGGGTTAGGGAGTGTTTTTATACAAGGTTACCAAACGAGTATATTCGACGTGATGGTAAATGGATAATAATGCCCATAGATGCCTAGATCTATATTTGATTAAGAATCCAAATGCAGATACGCTGTCACCGCGAATGACTAAGATGGAATGCATCGTAACAGTAAAAGGAGTCTCTGGTTCTCGTTATATTTTATACGCGGTAGAGTCATGCTGCAGCTATATTAGTAGTATAGCTGTAGCACGAATGGGTCGGCTCCAGTGGCGTAGCTACCCAGGGCCTAGGCGGGGCAGTGCACCGGGCCCCCAAGCTAAAGGGGACCTTTCGTCCTCCAAGAACGACGATCGAAAAATGATGTATTATCCTAGTTGTATAAAACTTTTTCGAGTTTTACCTTTTTGGCCCCTGATGGCGAACGGCTCGATCTGAAATCACAAAAATTACCTCCACTTCCAGATCATAAATATAACATTATTAAAGATAATTGTCTATTTCGTTTTATTGTGTCGACCACCGCCTATTAACCGGTTCAGTGCGGACGACACGCCAGGCGTGCCATCGATTACTTTTGTGTGTGGCGTATGACACACGAGTCGTGTCTTTTTAAAAATCGTTATAACTCGCTCAAATTGCGTTTTTGGAAAATTTATCCAGAACAAAATATTCATTATTTTGCAAGTAGTTCATGCCCGTAGCTTCGTTTCTGGATATTTTGAAAATTTGAAAGTTTTAGGGGTTGACAACTTTTTTTTAACTTGTACATGGTACTCTTTTTACTTTGTGGGTTTTCAAATGTTGTGGAAAAATAGTCGAATAAGTAACAACTAATAGCACTCATTGCGATCGCTCACAAACTCAAGTTGTAAATAAATTTCTGGAAAACAAGTCTCCTGTTAAAAAAAAACAATGCGTTTGTCTTATTGTTTAAAATGGTTGAACTGCTGTCTTATTACTATCATATGGCCGAATAGACCTACGAAGTACCTACCATGTATTCTTACTAATTAGACGTTTTCAAATCGACTTTACAACATTTGTATAACATAAAATAATATTTAACATTTGTAAATATTAATGAATCATTAACCTTATTTTTTTCTAAATTAAGGTTCTTGATTGTTTGATATTACATACATACATACATATAATCACGCCTCTTTCCCGTGGGGGTAGGCAGAGACCAGTTCTTTCCACTTACTACGATCCTTGCATACTTGTTTTGCTTCGTCCACTTTCATTATTCCCTTCATACATGCTCTACGGTTTAGGGTACTCTTGACCTGGCCTTTTTTCAAGACGTCCCTGATTTGGTCTAGAAATGTCCGCCTAGGTCTACCCCTTCCAACACTTTCATTCACACTCGCCTTATACACTTTTTTCGTCAATCGTTCTTCATTCATTCTCTCGACATGGCCAAACCATCTCAGCATACCTTTCTCAATTTTTGTCACTACATCTTCTATATTTACATATATTATTATTAGGTGAAAATTTAATTTAATAAAAACTAAGGTTTTCCGGGGTGATTTAGTTGTACCTACTTATATAAATGATTTTTTTTATAAAACAAAAAATAGTACAAAATGTTTGTAATCTCTGCATAAAAAAAGTCACTCTCAATTTCAAAGAAAACACGTAGAACAACACGTTGTTACCCACTAAAAACAAGTATCCTTCCGTTTGTAACTGATGTTTAATGTCAACTAAACTTAATTAGGTCTACGTCTGTGGTGCTTGGCAAGCCAGGCGTGTCTTGCAATATTTGTTCGTCGCCACAGCTAAAAGTTGTCGAAAATTGGTGCCGTAACGAATCGGTTAACAAATACAACAACAGGGGAATTGCAGGCGCGTTGCCGGCTTTTAAAAAGGGAGTGAGCTCGTTTCTTGAAAGTTCCTAAGTCGTATCGGTCCGACAGTAGTAGACCGCCAAACATACCGATGATGTGTATTTGTGAAATTCGTTGATGAAATTTTGTCTGGAATTAATTCGAACAATTTCTCTGAACACTCCCCGTGGTAAATGCGATAGAAAATGCAAAGGAATGCAACATCTCTTCGTCTCGTCTTTCGTCTTCGCCGGTCGTCGTCGATTCGAGCCACTCTGCGCTGGATGCGGTCAACTGGAAGGAGCTGGTACTAGGGAGCCCCGGCCCAGGGATGTGAACAGTATTCCATGTTAGGCCGAACTTGCCCCTTGTAAAGTTGTAAGCAGTGTGCCGGCATAAAATACTGTCTCGCTCTGCTGAGCACGCCAAGCTTTTTAGAGGCCAATTCAGCCTTCCCTTCCAAGTGAACACTAAATTGCACGTCATTCGATATGTCACGTAAGAATGTCGCGGAAGATTCCGATACTGGTTGAGGTAACAAGGGGACTGCCCTGAAATTGAGGAGTTACGACAAGGGGGTTCTTTTTAGGGGTAAACGCGCAAAATTGTGTCAAAAATTATAAAATATCTAAAGCAGTTGCTCATAGTGGCCACCTCCAGCTTGTAGGCACGCTAAAGCTCTAGGTGCCATCTGAGTTGATGAGCGCCTAATTATTTGTAAATCAGATCTTATTTCTTCGGCGATTGACATTATTTTTGTGATGAGTTCTTCCCTGGTGTTTGGAACTGTGGCGAACACCCTTTGCTTCATATGACTCCACAAATATAATCCAAGGCTGTCAAATCGGGTGAGTGAGGTGGCCACGCTACTAGACCACCGCAACCGATCCACGGCGAATGGTTGTCATTTAAATAGTCTCTCACTGCTTGAGAAAAGTGCGCAGGTGCACCATCGAGCGCGACCCACATACGTTGACGGTACGGTAAAGGTAAAGCTCCATAAGGTTATCGGCAAACTGTGTCTCTAGGAGCTTCAGAAATGTAGTGCCGTTTAATTTAGGTCATTCCAACGGCCGCATCAAACGATCGTTGATTATGCCTGCCCATACATTCACCGAGAATTGTTGTTGAAACGAACTAAGGCGCAACGCTTGTGGGTTTACCGCATATCGTTTCTGTGATTTGTAATGCCAGCTCTTGTGAATTTTGCTTTGTCAATCCATAATATTTTTTACAGAAAATGACGGTTCAGTTTCATTTCGAATGATACACCAACAAAATACACATCTTGTTGCAAAATCTGTTCCGAGAATGTCTTGGACCCGTCGTAAATGAAAAGGGTGTAATCCCTCACTTTTCAAAACTCTCCATAAATTCCACT